TGTAGTATTTTGCACTTTCCCATCACTTTGGCTTTTACATGCTCTCTAAATCTTAGTTGACAAATGAGGAAACTAAGGCACAGAGCAGTGAAGTGACCCAGGGTTAGTGGCATCACAGGGAAGAGACTTCAGATGTCCTGGCCTTATGTGTAGAGCTCAGTGTGACCCTGGAACTGCCATTTGAGAATTCTGAACCCTAGAGTAGGGGGTCCTGGGGAGCTAGGGTGCTTAGGGCAGCTGGAATGGGGAGCCCAGGTACCCTCCAGCTTAAGATGGAATCCTGAGCATAAATATCAGCTCTGTTCCACTCCTAATGAGTATGGTCTTGGTGGAGACTAGTAGCTTGATTCAAAATAAAATATGCTTACTGCCTGTAATAAACCAATTCTGTGCTTGATGAAAATAACTGTCCTTTTATTGTGCCTCCTATATGCCAGCACCTTATTATAAGTCACTCATTTAACAATATGTATTGTGTATTGACTATATACCAGAGGGTGATGGTTGGTAAGCTAGACACATGTTACAGCTCTCATGGGGCTTATGTTATGAAGTGGGAGGCAGACAATTAAACAGGTAATTAGAATAAAGTGTGCTGAGTGGTGATGACAGTGGGAGGCAGGAGTCCACAGGGCAGGCAGCTAACCTGCACACGGAGTGGAAGAGATCAGGAAAGGGTTTTCAGAGGAAGCAACCACGCTAATGGGTGAGCAGGAAGGAGCCAAGTGAAGAGGCCTGGGTGGGAGTGCGTCAGGCAGAGAAAGAGCAGAAATCATGGCCCTACAGAGGTGCTAAGAGTTGTCCAGTAAGGCTGGGACTTTGTGAACAGAGAGGGGGCTGGGTTTGACTTGATGACACTAGAGGGGGCCAGGTCACGAGCAGGCTCAACACTGAAGGCTGTGTTAGGGATTTGAGTTTAAAAGGTCTTAGACAGGGAAATAATTTTTGGTTTGCATTTTGAAAAATCAATCTGGCTTTGGAGAAGGGGTTTAATTAAGGCAAGTTTGGAGGCAGAGGGGCCAGGGAGGAGGGTGGTTATAATAACCAGGAAAGACATGCTGGGGCTTTGGCCTGGGGTTGCATAGAAATCACCAGGACTTAGAGAGGAGTCTGATATGATGCCCAGATTTTAGATCTGCATGCTGACTAGGTGGTGCTACCATTTCTCGGGGTGGGAGACACAGGAAGAGGAGGGGGATGTCTTCAGTGTGTAGTGTTTGAGTTCTCTGTGAGACATCCACATGTTCAAAGGATAGTCAGACATAAGGACATGGGGCTCAGGGACATATCTGATGTAGACCTAAAACCTTGGGATTTGTTGACATATGGACAATGCCAATGGAGATCAGGCAGGTAATACCAATGAGAGAGGTAGGCTGGCTGAGGTGAACAAAGGGGCCAATTGCAACTTAACTTGAGCCAGTTGTTATCATGTGCGAATGAGGACCAGGTATGGCTGATCTTCAATTAAAAAGAAAAAGCATAACATATGGGTAAGGGTGTCATAGGATTCCAATTTTGGTGCCACCACTTATTAACCATGTGACCTTGGTCGCGGTACTTCAACTCCCTGTGCCTCAATTCTCTCATTGATAAAATAGGAACAATAATGGTACATGCCTCACCGGGTTGTTTGGAGATAAAATGGTTTAACTTTTGTAAAGCTCTTAGGACACTGTATTCCTTGCTTTTCTAAGTACTTGTTAGATAATCAACAGAGAAATGAGTGAATACTGTTGTGAAGTGGTACACAATGGTGCCCCAAGGAACGCTAACATTTAAAGGACTTCAGGGTAGACAGAGGAGAGGCAGAGCAGGAGTGGGGTACCCGGGAGCTAAAGGATATGAGTGTTTCTAGAAGTCCACTTCAGTCAGCAGTGTCAAACACTGCAGAGAGATCAGGTAATCTGAGGGCAAGTATCAGCTGAGTGGAGCAGCAGTACCGCATTTAATCCTCACAGAAACTGCAAGGTGGGGATTACTTATTAATGAGGAAACCAAGGTTTAGTGAAGTCATGCTGATGCACTAACTCATGCAGCTGGGTCCTGGGGCAGGTGGGCTGGCCCCTGGGTGGATCAGATTCCAGAGCCCGTGACCTCTCCTCTGCACCCTGCTTCTGGAGGAGTGGGCCAAGAAGTTTGCTAACATTTCTGAGCAACAGCAGGGTTGGTGTTCTTTCCTTTGCCTGGAAGCAGAGGTATTGTTTTCTCGCTGTACTTTTGAAATATCCTACACTCTCTCATTCCTTTTTGAGATGATGTGGGATTTATGCCATGATCAGGAGGATGTCTTAGAGATCATCACACGTACGAGCAGTGCTTTTCTATTTGCCAAACTTGGATCCTTAGGTAAATGGGTCCAGTAACTCCAGCCATCTCAAAAGGGACGGTTTGCCTCAAGGTTTTGTGAATTTGGGTATTAGTAATGTTGTGTTGAGTTGATTCTTTTTTTTGCTCAGAGCAGTAAAGGAGAAAAGAATGAAAAGGTGCCTGGTGGAAAAAACAGGACTGTGTGATGTCATGGGAGTTAGACTGCAATTGGGGACACAGTGTACCATCCCCAGAGTCCTGTGCCGCCTACATGGATGACCCAGGCCTGGCAGAAAGCAGGCTCTGTGCCCATTTCCACACCAGGTGCCCCGGGGAGATCTTAACTGGAATAAAGAGAGAGTGAGCGATTAAAATCAGGAGCTCTCTTTTCTCACCTGGTTGAGGGAATAAATAGCACGAAGCAAATATTTTTTCAAGAGCAAATTTTGGATTGTTAGGTGACAACCTCTGCATTTAAAATGACCCTCAAAATAACCACCCAGCTTTGCTCTTTCGTCTCCTCTAACGATAACGTCCCTGTGGGGGCCGAAGGCCTTTATTGGGTCACACATTTCTCATTCTTTACTATCTGGTCAATAGTTAGCAAGGCTGAGATCTCCAAAGTGAATAAGGATCCCACCAAGAAAACAAGTAGCCTTATTTTAGGAAATTCGTACTCAAAGCTTAATGTTTACAACTGCATGGTGTTTAATGTCCTCTCTCATTTTTTCAAAGGCTGTTTGGACTGACTACAGCTATTTGTGCCCCACCCCACCCTGATTCTCTTCCCTCTTGTAAAGAATAGCGCCACCTGGGGGTGGACACGGGTGGTGTGGGGTCTGAAGCTTGTAAAAAACTGGGCCTTCTTAAAATAAAGAGTGTAAAAACAGGTATAGACAAATGAGTGTTTATTTAGAACAAGAAAAAAAGGTGGGTAGGAAGGGGCCTGTGCAAGTGATATCTTGTTTTACAAATGAGGTGCCTGTCTATCTGTTGATTTCTCTAGCTCACTCGACCCACTTGTCCTCACTTCCTGCCAATCTACTGTGCTGACCTCCCAGGCACATCCTTCTGTTTCACCCCCTTCTATTACCATGTTTCTTGCTAAAGCTTTAACCGGCTGTGATTTAAATATTTTTCTATTACTGTTTGATCATCTAGTTGGAGATGCTAAAAATATCCAGGAGACCAATACTGTGCCTGTTGTATTTTGCTCATGGTTATGGGCTTAGCTAAGTGCCTGTCCCATAGTTAGAACTCAAATACTATTGAATGAATTAATTTGGTAACAAGCTAAAGATGATTGTAAGAACAAATTTGCGGGTTTGTGCTCCAAAGAAAAATTCCACTTGGTAGCCAGCTTAAGGTTATTAGGATCAGCTGTGTCCACACTCAGGCTTGTCAGCAGCAGAGACTGCTCTTCGATTTGAAAAACTTCCAAGCTTTGCCACTCAAAAATGTCACCTTAAAGGGAACTGACCTCAGTCGTATTAACCCTTGCATTTAGCCTATAGAAACCTTTGTAAGATGTTGGAAATGAATTTATTCATATATGGATACACACTTCAAATCAAACAAGTGTTTTTGGGATCTATGGCTCTGTACCCCCCTCCATAGGTGAAAATTGGCTACTTAACTCTAGTACTTTGAATTACAGGCAGTTTTGCTCTAATGTGAAAAATATACTCCTGTAAAACCTTCCATTTAGCAAGGGATGAGCTGAGAGGAAAGTGGGGAGAGCCATCATCCCTGTGCAGAAGGGTAGCTTGGGGTCGGTATAGTGGGCCCCGCGGAGAGGCTTTAACCGGGTGAGGCCCTCCACTCTTCAAGGCCACCCGGTCGTCCCAACTGCCCCAGTACAGGCCAAGCCGGTCTCTGCCTCTATGCTTGGCTCATGCTGTACCACAGACAGTCCGGAATGTTCTTCCTGATCTTATTCCCTCATGAAATCCCACTGGCCAACTTCAAGCTCCAGCTCTTCCTTCTCTGGTTTTGCCCACCCATGTTAAATTTGATCTTTTTAGAGCTCCAACCGCCCTGCAGAAGAAGCTCCTCTTGTGATGTTGAACCGCATCCTGCCTTGCATTATTATTATTATTAGGTTAGATGCTTTGAAGTCAGAGGACGTGCTGTACTCCCAACAGCCCCAACAGTATCATGCAGTGTTTGACTCACTCAGGCTCGCTACTTCACTTTCATTCCACCACTGGTTCTCAAAGTACCAGGAGTCAGAGGCAAAGGAAACAAATGAAAGCTGCAGGCCTTCCAAGAATCTCCCAGTTTGGTGGAAGAAGCCCTACCAACTGTCGCTTTATTGTTTATTTTCTCTACTTGGAATGGCTGTTAAGGACTTGGGCATGGAGGAGATGAGACATATTCCCAGTTCCTCTTGAATCTTTCACTGTGGTTTCATTCGTTCACTTTGAGTGGATTCTTTAAACCTTGGAAGCATGCTTATAAAATCAATGCAAAATTTAATATTATGAATTCAAATGTGAGGGAGTCCATAAATGCAGTTACTGAGAGTTCATTAGATGAAGACACTGCTCTGTTGGATAAAAATACACTACATGACTGCTCTGCTTGCTTTGCATGTGGAGATGGCTGCTTTATGACAGAAAGTCATTAACAGACAAACCTATATTAAACTTGATAATGTGTAACCAAGCATTTTACTTCTTTGTGTTTAGGAAATTATGCAGTACTGGCTCACAAAGGGTGTTGATGGCTTTAGTTTCGATGCTGTTAAATTTCTTCTAGAAGCAAAGCACCTGAGAGATGAGGCCCAAGTGAATAAGACTCAAGTCCCGGTAAGGTTTTGAACATTTTTTTTCTCCTTTTCTAAACATGTCATCAGAGTGTTTTCTGTTTTAGCCTGAATATTAATGTCCAAAGATGCCTTCTGTCTGTAGGAAATGCTCTGAATCACTTTCTTTAGAAGATTCAAATGCCTATGACCACATGCTTCCTTCCACTGTTCCCTCTGCGGGTAGGGGTCCCTTGAAGAGAACTTCGGTGACCGGAATCCCAAGGGCACCAACAGAGGGGATTCCACCGAGGGCCACCGCCACTCACTGCACTTCTGTCATCCCGCTTGGGCTCAAGTGAGGAGGCATAGATCCCCAGGTGCCCTGAGGTCATTGCAGGACACCCAGCCAAAAGGGACAGGAACTAACACTTGCTGGGAGCCTGCTGAATGGTGTATGCCCTTTACCTGGGATATTCCATTTAACTTTCACAACATCCCATTTAGCAAATCTTAGAGAAGTTAACTTACTGGGTGACAAGAGGTGTTAAGTCGAATTATAAACCAAGCCTGTCTAACCTCAGAATCTGGGTTCTCTGTGGTTCCACACCAGTGGTTCTCAGCCTCCCCACCTGTGCCACACAAGAGAGTGATCACGTGTCACTCTGTTCCTCTGGTTGAACACCATTCTACAGTCACTCTGTTTTCAAAGACTAAGTAGTCCTAAAATGTGTTCCAAAATAATGGATTTGTATATTTACACAAGAGAATATTATTCTCAGTCAAGATAAAAGAATTACAGTGACACATAGCAATATGGGTGAACCTTAGTAATGTTTAGCAAAAAAAAAATCTACAATTATTACATAGAGTATGATGCTCTTTTTATATGGTTAAGCAGGTAAAATGTAATTCATATGGGTAGTTTACTAGCAAGCTTCTAGCTTTTATCCTGAGTAACAGATTTGTGGGTGCATCTAACTTAATTAAAACAAAACTGTTAAATAACTAAAGAGGAGTTAGCTGTGCACGGGCTGACTCTAAGAGCATGTCATGAACTGAAGGTCTTTTTTTGTTTATTTTCCACATGATTTCCAATAAAAAGGAAAAATGAAGGGGAAAATAAAGGTTATATATTATCCAGTGTTCCAAAGAGAAGCACTTATCTCTAGAGAAGAAATCTCAAAATAACCTTGCCAATTATAATTAAATGTTATGAGATAGGCATATGTTTCAAGTCATGACAAATGATCAGAATAATGGGATTTGTGGGCTATTCAAGAAAAACTTAGGGGACATGTAATTTCAGGAAGAAACCTAAGATTCTAAAAAAAACTTCACTTGATCAAACAAGGTGTGGATAAAATGAAGGTTCTTGTGGCTAGGATTCTCACCTGGCCCTGGTTGGCTAGCTCACTACACATGTGTGGGCAATGCATCATTATTGGCTCTATAATGAAGAGCCATGCCCAGTGCTCTGTGCAATGCGGTGGCACAGCTACCAGGGCAGGAGAGCAGAGCAGAGGCTGGAGTAGTGGCAGCGCTGAGGACAGAAGCCCAGAGGACAGATGTGCAGGCAGAGAGGCCCAGAGGTAGAGATCAGCTTGCTGCATGCAGACTTGCTCTGAATGGATGAGATTTTAGTGATTGACCTGCCACTGTAGAAATAAAGTTGGGTATAACCCTTTCACCCCAAGAACATTCTAGTCATTTCTTTGGTCACATTGAATCCATAGTGAATGTGCCCGGGGCTGAAACCCATTGGCAAGACAAGAGGGATGTTCACTTATGAAAAAGGGGTCCAATGAATGGATGGCAACTCATGTCTGGACTGTCCCACCTGTCTGTGTTCCAGCCCAAGACTTATGTTAGACGTAATTTTTTACTTTGGATTCTAGAAGATTTCTGTAACCCTAGGAATGAGTGTTAGGAAAAATTTCTGAACCTTGGGTAAGTGTAACAGTAAGAATAAAGGATAAAAGTGGTAAAAAAACAAATTTAAATGGATATTAATAATTTTGTGAGCTGATAAAGTATAGGTGTGATAATGAGCTTTATAATTAGTAAGATAATTTGTTTTGTTTGCCTTTAAATGTGAAGCATTTAGGACAGTTAAATGTTTAAGAAGAGGATTTTGTTAAATACATTTGTAATCAGTGTTTAGCCATTTGGTAAAATTGAATTTGTTTACTCAACTTAGAGTTAATAATTTAAGCACCAAATGAAGTACCAATAGTCATAGTGTTCTCCATTCACAAGCGCCTTAAACACTGGAAGTCCTAGGACCATGCTTGAGCATGTGTGTCTTGCCTTGAGCCCTTTGAAGAGGTCTCTGTTCACAGAAGGCCAGTGGTGGGCCTTTGACATGAAATGGTGGTAACTGTGCTGTCCTGTTTTCAAAGGACACGGTCACTCACTATTCGGAGCTGTATCATGACTTCACCACAACACAGGTGGGAATGCACGACATCGTTCGGAGCTTCCGGCAGACAATGGACAAATACAGCAGGGAGCCTGGCAGATACAGGTGACCACAGGGCAACTTCCTCACTGGAACAGCATGGCATCTGCAGCTGATCCCTTTCTGTCAGGCATTCTCAAGAGGGTCAAGTTGTTATTTAACAAACCTGCTTTAACTATAATGGATCATGATTCAGTTCTGCCTGGCCTGGTGTATCTTCCCGTTGCTTAACTTTGCTGCTTGTCAGTTTCCTCTTTTGTGAAATGATGCTAATTTTCACAGGAATTTTGTGAAAATTAAATTAAGATAATATACTATCTGAATGTTAGCCACTAATTATTATTATTTGACCTGTTAGTGTTCATGTACTGTATAAATCCAAATGTTTCAACTAAACTGTTGGTAGATCGCAATGGTTAGGAACACAGCTTTGGAATCAGATGGGCCTGAGATAGGTCTTACATAAAACTGCAACCTGAGGCTCGTTAGTTAACATAAGTTCTGTTTTCTGACCAGTGAAAAGGTGATCATGACACTCCTTTAAGACTGTTGTGGGATGACCGGTGATAATGTAGATGAAGCACTTCAAACAGTGCCTGGCACATAATAAATACTCAGTAAACTTACTATGTTTATATAGATCATCCAGAAGAATCAAGAGAAAAAGAAATTTCTCCTCCTTAAAGTAGGTCCTCTGGTTACCATCCCCATTTTACAGATGAGGAAACTGAGACTCTGAGCATTTAGGTAATTGTCACACCCAAGTAATGGGATTGGAACTCAAACAGTTGGGCTCCAGACACTGTGCACTTACCTATTAATGTAATGCCTCAAACAGGCAAAGCCAGCATTGATGCAAGTCATTCCAGGCCAGGATCTTCCCCTGAGAGGGTTTGGTTTCAGTAATAGAGTGTATCCCAATAATGAAGTGAGACTTTATAGGAATCCAAATACAAGGACAAGTTTTTGGGGAAACCCCTTCCCCTTACATTGCAGAAATATACTGTTAATTCTAAGTGGAGTGATGAGAATTGCTAAAGAATGTCTTCATGGAAGCTACTCAGCTGTAATCAGATTTAGAAGAGAACAATACTGAGATCCAAATGTGTTTCCTAACCCTTAGACGTGGTCTAGTGTTAGGCTAGTGTTTGGATTTATTATGATACTTAGTAAGTGAGAATTTGTCCATGTGACCCAACATGCCATTTCTTGGCTATCTGGCTTGATTATGCTCTAGGTCGAGCACTAGCCTAACATGAATAGTGTGCATTCCTTCCCCACATCTCTGCAATCAGATATAAGCAGCTGCAGAACACTTTCCCAGTCTTGACAAGCTCTGAGGACGTTGGCCCTGCCACCTCTTACAGGTTCATGGGGATGGAAGCTCATGGAGAGGGCATTGACAGGACCATGATGTACTACGGGCTGCCTTTTATCCAAGAAGCAGATTTTCCCTTCAACAATTACCTCAGTAAGCTAGACACTCCTTCTGGAAACTCTGTGTTTGAGGTTATCACATCCTGGATGGAAAACATGCCGGAGGGAAAATGGCCCAATTGGATGGTAAGACCTCATGCCCAGCCGAGCCCATCTGGTGCTGGTGAGCTTGCTGAACAATCACCTCGACAAGGAAGTGTGTCTAAGTTTGTCTCTAAGTCACCTCCATCTTTCCTTTATTTGGTGACTATTGAGCCAGGCCTGTTCCAGTTTCTGACCAGGTTCTGTCATTTTTCTTCTTTTCCTTATGGTTCTCAGATAATCACAATCGATCTGTCTTCAAGTCTGCCAGTTCTCTGCCAGTTTAAATCTGTTCAGTCCCTCCAGTGAAGTTTTTTCATTTCAGTTATTGTACCTCTCAATTCTGAAGTTTGTCTTTGGTTCTTTTCCCTAATTTCTCTTCATTGATAATTTTTATTTGATGAGACATTTGTTCTGATATTTTCTTTAAATTCTGTAAATAGTTCTTTGAACAGACGTATAATTGCTTTAAAGTCTTTGTCCCCCAAGTCCAATGTTTAGGGTTTCCTCAGTCACATTTTTCTATTGACTACTTTATCCCCCTCTGTATGGGCCATACTTCTTTGTTTCTTTGCATGTCTTGCATTTTTTTGTTGTTGAAAACTGGATTATTTTAAATAATGTAAGTATAAAACCTGGAAATCATTCTCCCCTCCAGTGTTTGTTCTTACTGTCTTTGGTGACTTTTTGGGATTAATTTTGTAAAATGTGTTCTTTGTTGCTTGGCTACTAAAGTCTGCTTGTCAGCAAATGATTGGAAAGACTCTTAAAATGCCTTGGGCCAGGTAAGTCTCCGAGCCTTTTCGGAGAGGCTCTTGGGGGCATGCATGTGTGTACTGGGCCATGAATTTCACCCAGGCAGGCAGTTGTCAGTTCTGACTTAGTCTTCACTTTCTACCTGCCCAGAGCCTCAAGGTCAGCCAAAGGTGATCAGAGCCTTCTCAGGTCTCCCCAGGGCATCTGCACAGCCCTGCGCATGGGTGTAGCCTTCTAGATTCCAGGAATATGTCAGAGCCTTTCGAAACCCCTATGGTCATCTCAATCCCCAGTTTTTAGGATTTTTGGTCAGTCTCTGTTCAGCCCCAGTTGGCACCTCCACCTCAGGAAGGTGTCCTGTTAAAACTGCTGCTACTGTTTTGGTGAATGCCCCGGGGATAGGGCTATTCACAGTAGAATTCACTCTGAGGAACAAAGAATCCAGCCAAAAGGGAGCTGATAGAAAGGTCAAATAGTGACAGTTCTCTAAATTTTGAGCTTTTGGTGAACTCTAAACCTATTTTGTTTTCCCAGTGGCTGCTAAGCTGCTGCTTTTCACAGCTACTGTAGTTGGAAGGCTGTTGGTTTGCAAGGCTGTTGAGGATCCAAGGGGCGGGGCATGAGAGTAGGGCCAGTTAAAGTGACACAAAGTTTACTGTTCTTACTCAGGTCCAGCTGTTGTTCTTGACTACAATACTCCTTGGATTGTTGAAAGCCTTTTAGCTCATTTCCAGAGTTCTGACAAAGTGAATTTTTATGTTTTTTGCCAGCATTCACCTTGCTTTTACAGTGATTTTTAGGATGTCCTTACTCCACCGTTCCAGGAATGCCCGCTTTATTACCAATTTTATAATGCAGTTTTAGTACTTGTTTTTTATATACTAAAAGTCTTAGGTATATAGACCACTGGTGCCTCTCTCAGCCTGTGAGGGGCCCTGATTTCTATCTACTGCTATGAACTACCTGTGCAAATATTTCTTGATTTCAGTTCTGAAAAAGAAGTGTTCTAGGTCCACAAGGCTTGAGAAATCACAGGGTTTCTTGTCAGTTGCTCTCATCATGAAAAGAACAAAGGGAGGTGAAATTTGACCTGACTTTTTGGCCATAAAAATAGATATTTTACAAGGGTCTATAAAAAATTACTTTTTATAGTTTTAGTACAGCTAAAGGAAAAAAAAAAGCAACCTCTCTTTCCCTGAATTGTTAACAACCTAGCTTCTGTTGTCAGATTGAAGTTCAAAGGCTGGTTCTGCCTCATACTCTGACTTGAATAAATGATGCACTTTCTCACAGCTTGTTTCATCATTTGTAAAACGGAGACAATACCCGACAGTACTGGAGTAGAGGGGAGAAGATAGAACTTATATGTGAAAGTGCTTACTAAATGTGAAATGCCATGTTTAGAATATGCACATAAGATTGAGTTGTGGTATATATGGAAAGAGTTGTTAGGTGATTTAAATAAAGTCTTAAATAAGATCTAGATGTTATAATATATAATTAGAGCATTTAACATAGAAATATATAAAATAGAAAACACTTTGCAAAATTTCCTCTATGTAAATTTCTTTATAAAAGTTGATTTATCTTTTAATTTAAAATTTATTTTCGCATAGATCAAAAGTCAACACACACACAAGGGGCACATCAGAAGTCTTTTTCCCACCCTTGTTCCTTCTACCTCTTCCCCTTGTCCTGCTCTCTCTAGGGGAAACGTTTTTGTTTCCTTTCCTGTCAATATTCTCTTATCCAAATGTGTGAAAATGCTAATAGGCACCTGCATAAAAACTGTAATATTCTTGTGACACAAATAGTTGTCACCATTTTGTTAATCACAATGGCCAAGGCAGTGAACTGGTCTAGTAAGAAGTAGCAGGGTTGGGACTCACATCCAAGTTTGCTGATACCAGGTACCCATGGCTAACCATTTTTCTGCCTGCTGAACTTATTGTGAAGTACGCTGAATCTTCCAGAAAAGCTGTATATAGAGCTGTGTTCTTAAATATACCTGCCTTTCAGGTCGGTGGACCCAACAATGCCCGGCTGACTTCCCGTTTGGGGAAAGAATATGTCAACGTCATGAATATGCTTGTTTTCACACTCCCTGGAACTCCTATAACTTACTATGGGGAAGAAATAGGAATGGGAAATATTTTAGCCTCAAATCTCAACGAAAGCTATGATGCTGTAAGTTAATATAACCATGTACCACACCAAATACTTTTTTTCCAAATCAGAGAATTTATTATTCCTATTCTACTGGAAATCATGATTACCTTGCCTTCCTTTCTTCCTGTTAGTGAGAATGCTCAGCTCTATTTGGGGAGCTTGTTAAAAATGATTGTGTAGAGCCCAGAAATCTGCATTTTAAAGATGTTTTCCAGCTGATTTTTAGGCACACTAAAATTTGAAAACCTGTTTTTTGAATTTGGAGTAGTATTCACTGCCCTCTCCCTGGTAGGTGTAGGTAGGAACATTTATTGCAGTGCTTGTCTGTATTGCTAGATTTCATTTGACCACAGCACCAGGATTCTTCCTTTTATGTTAACAAATGTAATACACAGCCTCATATCTGAGTAGTTTTTATTTTGTTTTTGAGGCTACAGATTTCACAGTTGTGTTGCTGGGCAGATGAATGATCTTGAACCTGTGATTTGTATGGTTAGCTTTCAATTGTATGAGCTCTAATTTTCCTATTATTTGGTCAAAGTGAAACTTTTTCTATTTTTGCTCCTGAATGTGTGTCTGTACACTCATGTGCAATAACCAGGCGGGACAAAAGAGGATAGAGTTTCAGCTCACTTGTACATGACTGCAAACTTGAATTTACCATCACTATATCACAGTAGAATGAGTTGGCAATGGCACATTTTGAAATCCTACACTACTCATTTTTATGGAAAAGAAGCACAGATTCCAAGCATGTATCAAAGTTCAGTTAGTATAGGCTATTCAAACTCAAGATGTCATTAACTATTTCCAATTAAGAGTGTGAAACTGGTTTTTGTGTATTGAATCTTAAGGCCTTTTTATTATGAATGCTAATACATACAAGTACTAGCTAAGAAGTACAGAGAATTAAATACTTATGAAGTAAATCATGGTCAAATTATATTTCTTTTCATAACCAGATGACTGTTTTCTCTTTATAGGATACCCTTTTCTCAAAGTCACCAATGCAGTGGGACAATAGCTCAAATGCTGGTTTTAGTGAAGGCAGTCACACCTGGTTACCCACCAGTTCAGATTACCACACTGTGAATGTTGATGTAAGTATCAGTGAAAACTTAATGCTGATTCCAGAAATGGGAAATGGGTTTCTGTGCTGACAGCATACACTCACTCTCAGTGTGTCTAAAACTTTAACTGATGCTCTTTAAATCAATCACATAGACTTGTCCTGCAGTTTTCATTTTTAAGGAGTTTGCCAGTCATATTTCTGTGAACATGTGAAATATGTTCTGTGAAATAATGTGAATAATGTTTGGATGGATGCTAATTCACAATAAAATGTCCCAGGCAATACCATTTTAGTAAAATACATCCATAGTAGCCATAGAAACAGGTGAGTATTTAGGTAATTTCTAAAATACAGAAAGTAAGATTAAGATTAAGGGCCTAATCTTACTACACTGATGAACAGTGATTGAAATGGGGTCAGGGGAGTCTTGATAATATGGGTGAACACTGACTGAAACCACGATGTTGCTCATGTGAAACCTTCATAAGACTGTATATCCATGATACCTTAATTGAAAAAAAAAAGGTAAATGAAAGAATTCAGAATAAAATGCACAGGAGGAAACAGTTCCACCAGGTGCAGGTAAGAGCACTGCAGAAGAGTTCCCAATCGCTGCAACTGGTTGCAATAGGATTTCCCTAAGGAAAAAACCGAAGCCTACTTGGGGATCAAATTCGTGTTGGAATGAGTAAAGCAAAGCCTGAAATAGAGCGAGCTTCTACAAGCACAGCAGAAGAAAGAAAAGGCAAAGAGCACCTGCTTCTAGAGCAGGGACATTCTCAGAAATGAGAGCTTTTATTCTTCAGGTCATAGAGATCAGAATCCTAGGGAGCTTATCACCATCAAGCAGGAAGAGAGCAACTACATCACAAAGACAAAACAGACTTACCTCCAACTCAGCTTTGCACAATTACTAGAGGCAGGACGCTAAAGATGGGCAAATGAGTATCAAAATGCAAAAGTAAAAGGATCACCAAGAATCACACTACATTTAAGAAAAATTAACATAAAAGAGACCATTTCTAAACACAGAAAGCAGAGAATATATAGCAAACGTTAAGACTTCATTATTAGTATAAAAATCCCCAGTAGACTGTTGTATACTGGACTGTCTTTAAAAGTATATTAGATAAGGGAAGTACTGTCAAAATAAACAATGAAATATAAGTTCTAATTAATAGTGTAAAGAGAAAATTTTTGTAATGTGGAGCATAAATCTAGAAATTCCAACAAACAGCAAAATGGAATTCTAAAAGAGAATAGAGGCTGGAGGAAAACATCAAATAAATAAAGGAAACAAATCAGAGATAACAGAAGAATTCATCTTCTTCTGGAAGGGCAAGAATAAAAAGAAAACCCTAAAAAACTCTAGATTGCCTGAGGAAAGGATTAAGGATTAGAGTAGCATCAGACTTCTCAACTGGATACTAGAACACATTAGAACTTTATCTTCAAACCTGTAATAGAAACTTATCTAAACCTAGAATCCTGTATCCATTCAACTAGCAACCAAGAATAAGCAAAACAGAGATGGAGAAGTGAGGTCCCAAATTTTACCAGGTCTAGCCAGTTCCTGAAAGAACTGGGGACTCCCAACAAACCAGAAATGAATCCAAAAGGAAGACATGATGTATATAAAATAGTGAGGAAAGGACTCAACACAACTTAAAGATAAATAATTTTGCTATATAAGGTATTCTGAAACAAAAATCTTAGTGATTTATTTCTGTATGGGAGTGGTGGCAGGGAGGGTGTGGGAGAGCAGGCCAAAGCACCTGTCTTTATAGGGAATAGAAACAGTAACTTCCTCTAGGTTTGAGTTGTCCAGTAGCCATTAACAACTGTGACTATTAAAATTAAATCAAACTAAAAATTCACTTCCTGTGCCATACTAGCAACATTTCAAGTGCTCAGTAGCTATTGGCTACCACACTGGACAGCACAAATACAAAACGTTGTCTAGCACTGCAGGACGTGCTACTGGACAGCATTGCTCTGTATATTGAGAAAAATATATTTTAATTGACTCTTGTAATTTTAAGGGTAACCAGTAGAAGAACAGACATAAATGTATGATTTGCCAAAGAATATTAGAAGGAAAAAATTACATAAAACCAACTGATCCAGTAAAAAGCTAAAAAGGAAGAAAATGTATCAGTAGTACAATTATAAATAAAAGATAAAATAAGGCTGTTAAATTATGTCTAAACATATGGTAATCACAAGTCAAGTATAAATGGGTTAAATTAATCTATTAAAAGATAAAAACTCTCAAATTAGAGAAGACAAAATCCAAAATGAGATGAAATTAGAAAAGGACATAGAACTAAAATAAAGATAGCACAGGCAAATGGTACAAGAAAGCTTACTTTCTGGTTACAGCTATCAAAACAAAAAAGGCATTGACCTTTTAACCTAATAATTTCATTCCTAAATAGTTATCTCTAGGAATACCAGACATGTGGAGAGTGATAAATATTTAAGGATCTCTAGTACAGCACTGTTTTTAGTAGTAGGAAATGATTTAAACACTATCAATAGAAAACTAAATCAATTATGGTTAATCAATGCAATGGACTAGTATGAGCTTTTAGAAAGAATCAGGGTGCTGTATATGCATTGATAGAAAACCATCTCTAACATGTACTAAATAATAATAAACAGGATACAGAATGATAATACAGCCACTATTTGTTTAGAGAAAAAAATAGGTCTACATATGTTTGTATGCATAGGGTACATCACTTCATATGATACACAAAAACTAAAGAATACGTGCACAGTAATAGTGTTTATGTCTGAGAGGAACTGGAAAGCTAGGGGAGAGTGTTGAGGAAACTGAGTTACATACTGTGTGCATGCACTGCCTATTAAAAAAAATAAGGTTACAAAAAGCAGGTGTGGAAATATTTAATAGCAAACAAAACATAATTCAATATGAAAAGCATGAGACAGGCAATTTTCAAAAACTGATAAAAGAACATTCCACTATAAATCATGAACTATGCATTTAACAATAGCTTCAAAATATATAAAACAAGTACTCTGAGAAATGCAAAGAGAAACTGACAAGTGCACAATTACAGACAGACACTTCAACATCTTTTTAGAAAGTGGTAAATCAAGTAAACAAAAATAATAGTTAACACTTACTGGGCACATCTTATGTGAGTGGCACTGAACTACATGTTTTCATGCATTTTCTAAGGCTGATAAAATGTTACTAGTATATTGACAAATCATATATGTATGCCATATACCATAGATACCTTTGTACCGCATAAACAGAATAGACATTTTTTTCAAACATTTATTAGATACTCATTAAAGACCACACATTAGGTTCCCACCCCCAAAGAATAATGACAAGCAACAATAAACAATAAGAACAACCACTACCACCACCACTGCACTCAACAGGTGGGCAAGAATACAATGAAATGAACATTTTCAATGATTTGGCAACAGCTCTCATGAAGAGTAATTTGGCATTATGTATCAAGTGTCCATATTCTTTGACAAGTAGTTGTCTTTCTGATATTTATATCCTAAATAATCCAAATATGGGGGAGGCATTAAAGATATAAGAAAATACTAGAAACTTGAATGTTGAAAGGGAATGGTTGAGTATGGTATGATCTTTCAATAGGATGTTATTTTGCTATTAAAATGGTATTTATGGAGGCTATGCAATAACAGAAAATTTTTGAAATGTTAAAGGAAGAAAAAAGCAAGAAAAATAAAACAAACTATGTATGTTTTATATAGCTGTAAAATAAACCCAAATCCTCTTTAATGGACATATATTACTTTTATGGTTAAAAGAAAAAGCACTTTTTTCTTTTAGGGAAGTGATTTCTAACTTTCACTTTAGGCAGCATTTTGCTTTGAATCCTTTTTTACAACTTACTGTTCATCATTAGCTCATCAAGAAATATGTGCTAAAGTTACAGCAACCTACACATTACTCTAATGAGAGACCAGAGAGGCCCCAATTCACCAGAAGTTCTCAGAGTCCATGGTCACAATGGCTGCTTTTCTTCCAGTTACAAGGTAGAATTAAAGGGACTTTATTTACCTAAGTTAAATATCCATTAACTTAAACATAGACATTACTTTTGGGATTTGTAAAATGGAGTCATATTTGGTCTTCCCATCAGTTCTGGCCAAGCTGAAGCAGGGCACTGTACAAACTGCACTCACTCCCACACAAGGTGAAACCAAGCATTTGCAATTTCTGTCAGTAGTTAAATAAACCATTCTTATCTATTTATTGACAAAATTTAGTAGTTTTTTTAAGGGGCAAAATTGAAACAAGTTTTTTGGGAAATAATTCTTTATTTGATACTAAAAATATTTTTTAAATCCTCTTAGAAGAAACATTCATGTTAACACTCTTTTATAAAAAAACAGGTCCAGAAGACTCAGCCCAGATCAACACTGAAGTTATATCAAGAATTAAGTTCGCTTCATGCCAATGAGCTGCTCCTCAGCAGGGGCTGGTTTTGCTATTTGAGGAATGACAGCCACTCTGTCGTGTACACAAGAGAGCTGGATGGCATAGACAGAGTCTTTGTCGTGGTTCTCAATTTTGGAGAATCATCACTGCTCAATCTAAAGGAAGTGATTTCAAATATTCCCACACAAGTGAGGATAAGGTTAAGTACCAATTCTGCCCATGAAGGCCAGGAAGCTGATACACAGGCCATTATATTGGACAAGGGAGAAGGCCTCATCCTTGAATACAACACAAAGAATCTCCTTCATCACCAAACTGCTTTCAGAGACAGATGTTTTGTTTCCAATCGGGCATGCTATTCTAGTGTATTCGACATACTGTACAGCTCGTGTTAGGCATCTCTGTGACAGAGGTGAAGACCCTGGCATTCTGTTCTATTATAAGCATTTGCAGTAACTTTAGGTAGAGCATGCTGCTGGGTAAAGTTTATGAAGTCATTAATTCTTAGCTTTTTCTGTAGCTTGAATGTAACTACTTTAGGAAAAGTTCTCAAATGTTATTAAAGAATAATAAAATTATCACTTGCAGGAACTTGTAACTTTACTGAGAAGCATCAATAAGATGATCAAAACACCTCAGAACTCCAGATTCTATACTAGATAGTCCTAAGGAGTTTTGATGTGAAAATGTTATCTTTTCACATAAAATTTAGGCATAGAAACTGGAGGATGACTTACTGTCAAAGTGTCTAAAAAACGTTCACTAGCAAAGAGGCAGGACCTTGCTTTGTAAACTCTTTGAAGGAAATCTTAGTAAAACCATCAAAAACAAAGCTGTTCTGATGGGCGAGGAGGGAAGAGTTCTGCTGTTGCCAATTCTTCCTTTCTTCCCTATTCCATGTCCCTTTATGGTGCATGACTGGAAACCTACTTTCCTAGGCTTAGGGGCCTAGGTGTCAATGGAGAGAACAGTATAAGCAAGTAGATATACACTAAACAAAATTTAGATGGAGAAGCAAATTTAAAAAACTTACTAACTTAAAAAAATCTCTTCTGCTAACCCAACTATAAATAAGACCATGAAATATTTCAGTGTGTTTCCAATGCCCACTGAATGCAGCATTTCAGAATTTTAGGTATTTCTTAAGATTCTCAAAAACACTGGTGCTGTCAAGTCCAAGTTCGTCATACAGGAATTTAATTTGGGCTGTAATCTAAAAGAAACACATTAAAAAAATTAGAAGGCATTTGTGGTAAAACTCCAGTGGTTCAAGTCTCTCTTTGTCTATCCATCCTCACCCAATCTTGAAGTCAGCAATTTATGGCAAGGATACTTTTATTTGGGACAGAGGCCGAAGGCCCCCCCAAAATTAAGACTCAATCACTTTCTTTAACAGAGCTCACTTATCAAGTATAAGAGAGAGCGTTTTCTCTGGATTGACTGTGTTCCTCCTTCCCCTCTTGGGTCTCAGCCACAGTCCTGGCAGTTGTGAAGCAGCTGTCATAAACCCTGCTGCAACCACTGAAGTGTTAAGACAACACATGTCTTGGGGACCTGTTAGCTGAGAGGGGCTTGACAACATACCTTTTTGTGAGAATCCTCAATCACATGGTTGCCTCCAGGCTGGATATCTAAAACAATATTGGGGGCCTGATAGCCTGAAAGAGTTAACATGAAACAATTAGAAGGTATTTGGCGGCCACTGGAGATCCATTTCTCCCCTCTTTCCAAGTATTCCATTAGAATAATAATGAAGGAAAAAGGCATAAACCACCACTACCAACAACAAGGAGATGGGTGGGGACAAGCAGGAGAAGACAAGTATCTGAAACAGAAAGCAGGAGGTGGACCAGGCAGGAACTGGATGGAAGAGACTGTAGGCTGACATGGAGAAGTTACAACCCAGGAGGAAGCCAACTGGCCTGGGAGAATCTGAGTTTTGTGATTGGAAACACCAACTATAGCATGAGTGAGAGACATACGGCCTGCACCTGTCTAAAAATTGATGCGCGTGTTTCTCCAAGAGCACAGATGGTCTTGGCATGTCTTGGCAAGGAAAAAAGGTAAGAGTTCTTAGGTGGTGAAATGGAAAGATGTAGAGAAAATTAAAGCAGCTAGTTTGGGCACTGAAGCTCCACAGGAAAAATTTCTGAAATCTGTTTTTTAGAGGTTCCCAAGAATAATGACTCAATTAATACTGTTACGTGAATGCATGACCATATGATAATACGTCTCCAAGTTATCTTGCTATTTAAACTTACTTTTTACTTTGTGTCTTGCCTCCTTTATCTTAATATTGTCCTTTGAAAATGAGGCAAGGCAGTTGTAGCTCTTATACATGCTTCAACTTGGTAGTCAACATAGGAAAAACAATTATTTATCCAAAATCATGGGCGGATGATTTGGTCTGTAGCATAAAATGTATTGTTTGGAGCAGTATGCTGAAGGTAAGAGTCCATTTAACTCTGGTCCCTGCTGCCAGGTGGTCTCTTACCTTCACTGTTGTCCTTAGCGTGCTCTGTGATGGCTTCCTTGAGTTTGTCAGTGTAGTTTATAATTCCTTTCAGAGGTACACGTTCGTCATTTTCATAAGCTGTGACGTGAATCGAAGGATAATGCTGAAAGAAAACAGATGTACAAAGAATTTATGTTATTCCTTATGGTCCCTTTCCACCATATAGAGTATGAAAAATAATTACTTTCAATTTTTTTCCTAAGTGCTAGACATTTTTTACTCATTGGATATTCTTAAAGAGATCTACACTATCACAGTACTAGACTACCTGTTACTTGAAACATCCCTGTCTTCACTAGAGACCATACCTTATCTGATCTATTCTCTTGAGCCATTAAATTGAAGTAAACATGGAATTATGAGCAGAGATGATACTGCAAGTTATTTGGGTTTTATAAATAGAACAATCTAAAGCCCTACTAAAATTCTTGCCACAGCTCAGCTAAGTATCTTTTTGATGATCTTTTCTATCACTTCAGGATAGTATATCATAACTGTCTTTCACTACCTGAGGTTTAATATTTTGATAGGGACAGTAACGTTTTATGTAATTCTTATGTTTTTCATCAGATGAAGGATTTCCCCATTCTTCTAATTCTTCTAAGGTCAGAGGAAGTGTAGTGTCCATCATGGTGTTGAGAACATCTAGGAAAGGTGCCTAAAAGAAAAAAGCCAAAGGAACTTATACTTTGACTAACAAGTTGATAAAATGAGTTTCAAAAGAATATTATACTTTATGAGTATATGTGCTGATATGAGTGAGTAGAGCTCAAGCAGCCATGTAGACAGACTCTCAGGAGCCAGACTAATCACTCAGTCCTTAACCGGGGCCTGTGATTTATAATTGGCTTTTAAGGTAGTCAGACTTTTTACATGACTTTTATATAAAAAGAAAGGGTTTATCATCACCATTTTTTAGTTTTTAATTCAGTGCCTTTTATTTATTTTATAAAAGTAATAAATGCTACCACCTCACATCCATTAGAATTGACTACTATAAAAAAACAAAAATTAACAAGTGTTGATAATGATGTGGAGAAGTGGGAACCCTTGTGCACTGTTGGTGGGAATGTAAAATAGTGCAGACAGTATGTTAGTTTCTCAAAAAATTAAATTTAGAAACAGCATTTCTATTCATATATATATATATATATATATACCCAAAAGAAATGAAAGCAGGGTCTCTTAAGAGCACACCCATGTCCATAGCAGCATTATTCACTACAGCCAAAGGTAGAGGCAACCCAAGTGTCCACTGGTGGATGACTGCATTAGCAAGACATATACATATAATGAAATATTATTAAGCCTTAAAAAGATTGATTCTATACATAGGAGGTACCCATGGCAGTCAGATTCGTAGAGACAGAAAGTAGAATTTGTCCAAAATCATGGGCAGGGGCTGGGGGAGGGGGAATAGGGTTATGAGACTGAATATGAATATACTTAACACTACTGACACTTAAAAATGGTAAACATGGTTAACTTTTATGTTATTGTACAATAATTAAAAATGATAAACAACAATAACACATGGATAATCTCTTCTTTACCAGTTGGAAATTTTACATTAAAAAATATAATAAATGCTATTGAAGAAAATTGGAAAACATCCAAGTTGAAAGAAGAGAAAAATCACTTACTGGCTTATAGTCAGTGTTAAAACATTCAGTTAGATCCAAGATAGTGGCAATAGGAAGATCCTGAACTCAACTCCTCCCATGGATACACCAAATCTACATTTACGTGTAGAGTAATTACTTCTGAAGAAGTGAGGACTGACTGAGCAGCTTGTACACCACAAAGGATAGAGAGACCACACAAGAAGAGTAGGAGAGATGGAGACATGGTGACAACAGGAACCCCACCCTCCAACGTGGTGCCTGCAGTAGGGTGCCTGAGGGGCCTGCAGGCAGACTAGCTGGCATTAGGGCAAAGTGTAAAAACAGTGGAGGACAACTAGACTATACATGAAGAAAATCCATTTATTATCCTGAAAGCATCTGCCAAATGGGCAGGAAATTGATGGCACGTTCTCTGAGTTGGAGGTGTCAGCAAATGTCATTTTTTTACATTTCCATTCACCTCGATAACATGGGTGAGCAGGATCCAGGCACTCTAGCTAGCCTGCCAACTCCACCCCAGTGTGCACTGGAGCCCCTGGCCTACACTAGCTCCAGCTGTCCCCCAGGGCATCCAGGGCACCAGCACAGCAGCCCCAGCCATCCTGCCACAGCAGCCTTGGTGTGGTGTGCCCAAGGACCCCCTAGGCCTGCACTCATACCAGATTCAGTTGTCTTGCCAGGTAGGTCCTGGTGTAGCATGCCTGCTACAGCTCCAAATGACCTGTCAGGGTGGCTCCAGTGCTGGGGGCACTGGGATCTCAACTGTGCCTGCACCAGCTCCAGTTGTCCTGCCAAGGCAGCCCCAATGTAGTGCACCCTGGACCTGATGGACCATGCCTGCACCAGCTCCAACTGAACTATCAAGACTGCCTGGTGAAGCATGTCTCAGGTTCTCAGGACTGTGTACACATTGGTTCCAGCGATCCCACCAGGGTGGCCCTGGTTCAGTGTGCTCTGGTCTCCCTTACCCTGGGCCTGCTCCAGGTCCACCAGGGCTGCCAAAGATGCCAGGCACACACAGTCTACACAGAGGATGCTCTTACACAGGGCCTGGAGAGGTAGCTGTTTTGCCCAATTCATAGAAACAAACAAAGTCAACAAAATGAGGAGTCAGAGGAGAATGTTCTAAATGAAAGAATAAGATAAAAATCCAAGAAGAAAACACTAATGATCCAGAGATAAGTAACTCACCTGATAAGGAGTTCAAAATAATGATCATAAAGATGCTCACCAAATTTGAGGAGAAGAATGGAGGAACAGAGTAAGAACTTCAACAAAGAGAAAAATATAATAATCAGAGCTGAAGAATAAATAATTGAAATAAAAAAATATACTAGTGGGAATCAACATCAGATTAGAGGATCCAGAAGAGTAGATCAGCAATCTGAAAGAATAGTGGAAATCACCCAATCAGAACAGCAAAAAGAAAAAAGAACTAAAAAAATAATTTAAAGGACCACTGGGACAACATCAAGTGTACCAACATTCTCATTACAGAAGTCCCAGAAGGAGAGGAGAGAAACAAAGGGGCTTACAATAAAACTTATTTGAAGAAACAGTAGCTGAAAACTCCCCTAACCTAAGGAAGGAAAGAGACATCCAGGTCTGGAAGCAAAGAGAGTCCCAAACAAGACAGACCCAAAGAATCCACACCAAGACATAATGAAGATGGCAAAAGTTAAAGAGAGAATCTTAAAGGCAGCAAGAGAAAAACAAAGACTATACATGAGTCCTGTAAGACTATGAAATCATTTTTCATTGCAGACCAGAAGGGAGTGGCAGCAAAGTCCTGAAAAGGAAAAACTCAGAACCAATAATACTCTACCCAGGTTATCATTCAGAATTGACAGAGAAGAGTTTCCCAGACAAGCAATAAATAAATGAGTTAATCACCACTAGACAAGCCTTACAAGAAATGTGAGTCTTTAAGTGGAAAAATATAGGCCATAATTAGAAATAAGAAAATATATTAAAGAAAAAGATCTCACCGATAAAGAGAAATAGACAGTAAAGGCAGTGGATCAGCCACTTAAAAAGCTAGTATGAAGATGAAAAGAAAAAACAGTAAGAACAACAATGAGGGATAGTTAAGGGATACACAAAATAAAAGATGTAAAATATGATGCCAAAAACAAAACAATGGGGTGGAGGAGGGAGTAAAAATTAGTGTTTTTAGAATGAGTTCAAACGTAAGTCACGAACAGCTTAAAATATACTGCTTTATTTATAAGTCAATATATATGAACTTCATAGGAATCACAAACCAAAAACTTCTAAGAGATACATAATAAATAAAGAGAAAGGAGCCCAAACGTAACACTGAAGAAAACCACCAAACTACAAGAGAAAAGATCAGGGGAGGAGTAAAGAAGAATTACAAAACCAACCAGAAAACAATGAATAACAGTAAGTACATACCTACCAGTAATTACTTTAAATGTAAAGGGACTAAATGCTCCCATCAAAGGAATAGGGTGGCTGACTGGATAAAAAAGCACTACCCAGATAATATACTGCCTACAAGAGACTCACCTCAGATGTAAAGGCGCACACAGACTGAAAGTGAAGACAGTACATGCAGATAAAAATGAAACCTGGAGTAGCAATACTTGTACCAGAAAAAACAGACTTTCAAGACTGTAACTAAAGACATTACATAAAGGGACCAATCTAAGAAGAGGACATAACTTTAATAAATATTTATGCATCCAACATAGGAGCACCTAAATACATAAAGAAAATATTAACAGACATAAAGCGAGAAACTGACAGTAATCAAGTAAGAATAAGGGCCTTTAATACCCCATTTAAATCAATGTATAGAACAGCCAGATAGAAAGTCATTAAGGAAACATTAGCCTTAGATGACACATTAGACCAGATGGATTTAATAGATATATAGAGAGCATTTCATCCAAAAACTGCAGAATACACATTCTTTTCAAGTGCCCATGGCACATTCTCTAGGACAGATCATGTAAGACCACAGAACAAGTCTCAAAATTCAAGAAGACTGAAATCATATCAAGTATCTTTTCCAACCACAATCTCTTCTATGAAACTAGAAATCAGTTACAAGAAGAAAACTGGAAAAACATGTGGAAACTATATAACATTCTACTAAACAACCAAAGGATTAATGAAGAAATTTAACAAAATACTGGCAAACTGAATTCAACAATTTACTCAAAGAATCATATGCCACAGTCAAGTGGGATTTATTCCAGGGATGCAAGGATGGTTCAACATCGATAGATCAATCAATGCAAGACACCACATTAATGGAGAAAGGCTAAAAATCACGATTGTCTCAGTAAATATGGAAAAAGCATTTGACAAAATTCAATGTGTACTTTAGGATAAAAACTCTCAACAGTGTGGATACAGAAGCAATGTACCCCAACATAATAAAGGCCTTATATGACAAACCCATGGCTGACATCATTCTCAACAGTGAAATGCTGAAGACTTTTTCTCTAAAATCAGGAACAAGACAAGGATGCCCACTCTTGCCATTTTTATTCAATATAGTATTCAAAGTCCTAGCCTCAGCAATTAAGCAAGGAAATAAATAAAAGACAGACAAATTGGAAAGAAAGAAGTAAAACTGTCAATATTTACAGATGATGGGATACTATATATATAGAATAGACTCCACCAAAACACTATTAGAATTAATGAGTTCAGTAAAGTTGCAGGATATAAAATTAACATACAGAAATTGGTTTTGTTTTTGTACACTAATGATGAACTATCAGAAAGATACTAAGAAAACAATCCTATTTACAATTTCATCAAAGAGTAAAATACCTAGGAATTTAACCAAGGAGGTGAAAGACCTGTACTTTGAAAGCTATAAAACTCTTGATGAAAGAAATTAAAGATGACACAAATAAATGGAAAGATATACCATGCTCATGATTGGAATAATTAATAGTGTTAAGAAGTTCATACTACCCAAAGCAATCTATAGATCCAATTCAAGCCTATTGACATGCCAATGGTATTTTTCACAGAACAGAACAAAGAATGTTAAGTTGTATGTTATCACAAAAGACCCCAAATAGCAAAGCAATCTTGAGGAAAAAAAAAACAAAGCTGGAGATACTGTGCATACTCCCTGGCTTCAAACTATACTACAAAGTTTTAATAATCAAAACAGTACAGTACTGGCACAGAAATAGACACACAGAACAGAATTTATTTTTGGAACCAGAAATAAGCCCACATATATGTGGTTGATCTATGACAGAGGTGGCAAGAATATATAATGGGATATGACAGTCACTTCAGTAATGATGCTGGGTAAACTGGACAGATATATGGAAAAGAATTAAACTGGACCACTACCTTACACCATGTACAAAAAATTAATTCAAAATGGACTTAAGGCTTGAATGCAAAACCCAAAACAATAAAACTCCTAGAAGAAAACATAGGCAATGAGCTCTTTGACATTAGTCTTAGCAATATTTTTGTGGACCAGTCTCCTCAGCAAGGGCAACAGAAGCTAAAATAAACAAACAGGATTACATTAAACAAAAAAGCTTTTGCAGAGAGAAAAAAACCATCAACAAAACCAAAAGGCAACCCATTGAATGGCTGAAGATACTTGCAAACCACACATCCAATAAGAGGGTTATATCAAAAATATATAAAGTTCTTACACAATTTAATATCAAAAAGCCCAATTAAGAAATAGGCAGGGGACCTGAATATGACATTTTCCCAAAGAAGACATACAGGTGGACAACATGCACATGAAAAGATGCCCCACATCACTAATCATTAGGGAAATGCAAATCAAAACCGCAATGAGGTATCACCTCACACCAGTTAGAATGGCCACCATCCAAAAGATGAGAAATAACAAGTGTTGGTGAGGATGTGGATAAATGGAAACCCTCATACACTGATGGTGGGAGTGGAAATTGGTGATGCAGCCACTATGAAAAACAGTATGGAAGTTCCTCAAAAAATTAAAAATAGAACTACCATATCCAAAAATTCCACTTCTGAGCATTTATCCAAAGGAAATGAAAACACTAATTTGAATAGATATGTGCACTGCCATATTCACTGCAACATTACTTACAATAGCCAAGTTATCGAAGCAACCTAAGTGTCCACTGAAGGATGAATGGATAAAGAAGACATAATATACATATACAATGGATTATTACTCAACCATAAATAAGAATGAAATCTTGCCATCTGCAACAATATGGATTGACCTAGATAGTATAAAGCTAAATGATGTCAGAAAGAGAAAGACAAATACCATATGATTTCAGTTATACATGGAATCTAAAAAACAAACAAATCAAAACAGAAACAGACTCATGGATACAGGAAACAAACTGTGGTTATCAGAGGTTGGGATGGGTTGGGGGGTGGGCAAATTAGGTGATAGGGATTAAGAGGTACAAAGTTATAAATAAGTCATGGGGATGTAATGTACAGTATAGAGAATATAGTCAATATTATAAGAACTTTGGTGACAGATGGTAACTAGATAGGGATCATTTAATATATTGAATCACTATGATATATACCTGAAAGTAACAGGATATTATATTTTATATTTCAATTAAAAAACAGCTATAAAAAAAGTACATGTGGATCAGTGGCTGCCTAGGGCTGGGGGAGGGGATGAGGAGTAACTACCAATGGGTATGGGTTTCTTTCTGTGATGATGGTTTCACAACTCTGTAAATATGCTAAACCTGATTGAGTTGTACACTTTAAATGGGTGAATTATATCTTAATAAAGCTGTTATTAAAAAAAAGTTTAAAAGCCAGTTAATAAAATGGCAGCTGGTTTTTTCACTTAGCTTATAGTCTCCTGTTAACATACTTTTCAGCTTTCTCTTGTATTAATATTAACAGGCATAGTGGGCAAATGTAATTCCTTGGCTGCCTAGCATCTGAACTCCTTTTCTGCATTTAGAGTATCCATAATCTTGTGAAACAGAGCTTGTCTCTCACTGCAGAGGTGCTAAATGCCAGGCCTACCGATCAGACATAATGCGCTGCAAACTTTGGGAAGTTAGTGACTCCAAGAAGTAGGAAACATACTGAATTTATTTTGGCAGAAGTGCTGCTGCTACATTTAATTTCTAGAAGCAACACTGGCTGTGTGAGGTGACTTGTGCCCAGCAGTGGCAGTAGTGATGGCTTTACTGGGCCAGGTTTATGGTATATTTTGGACATGTGTCTGGTTAGCCAATACCCTTTAATAAATCCCTTTTTTGCTTAGTCAGAGTTGGTTTTTGGTGCTTCTAATTAAGAAATTTGACTAATATATGAATCCTCCATTGTTGGATATTTAGGTTGACTCTTAATTCATCACTATTATAAATAACAGGGAATAAATATCCTTAATACATACTGGTTTATTTCTAATTTCTGCATATTTCTAATCTCTAAAAGTCAAAGTAATTTCTACAAGTCAAAGGTAAGTTACATTTTCTTTATATTGTAAATAATTCTGCCATTAGTATCTGTTTGCATAGGTTTCTTTTACTCTATACTTAGTATTTCTATTGAAAAAAAAGATTCATAGGTCAGGATTATTTAACATTTATTTTCCTAATACAGGCCTATAGTGTGTACCCCTTATCCTCAAAGTAAAAAAACATGAAAATAATATTCTCTTCACCCCAGTCATTATATTCTAGAATATCTAACCAGGAAGCAAGAGAATGATGGAGGTGAAATGAGCTGCTATAACTTCATAATTTGGGATACCAGGAAAAGACTGTAGAGAACAGAACAAAGTATTTCAGTTAAAGCACAGAAAAACTACCCCTAAAGACCACTAAGAATGGAGCATCTGAAAACAGGCAGCCTCTGGATCCAGGACCAAAGTGTTGTTGGTGGGCAGCAGAGTCAAAGGATTCATGCATTCCTGAGTCCCAGTGTGCTCTGCCTGACTTCCTGGCACTGGTGAGTCATACACGCTTTGTCTCTTTTCCACCAACTCTTAAATGTTCTTACAAATAAAAAATGGACGTTGGGAACAGTCATTAATATCCTTCAATGGAAATCCTTAAAAATTAGTTTTAAGAACACTGTCAGGGAGAAACAAGAAAAGGGTAAGTAGCTAGATTAAAAAAACTTTGTAAATTCTCTCAGAGCTACAATTCTGTGTTTAAAATTTATATGCTTTGTTAAACTCCTATGCTATGGTACAACTTAACAGAAACTTGTTTCTTAGAGTGGACTATGGCTTCGTGCCTCCCAACTATGTAAACAGTAGAGACAGAGTACTCACCTCCAGAGTCACAGCTCTCAGAAGCTCTGGATTAGAATTACACAATGCTCCCACAAGCACCCCTCCAGCACTGAAAGCAGTCAGGGTTGTTAGGCTTGGCTGAGAAAAGCCTTGGCCATGAAGTATCTTAATGCAAGCCTCTAAGTCAGCAAGGCCATTGAGTTTTTTAGTTAGACGGCCATCAGCGTGCCACTGGAGGCCTAACTCACCACCACCCCTGAAATTAAAGGGCAAAAGTTTTAGTGGGGAAAAAATGTTAATGGCATAGGTCAGGGTCAGCAAACTACAGCCTGTTGGCCAAATATACCCAGAGGCCTGTTTTTGGTATGGTCCTCAAACTGAGAATGGTTTTTATGTTATTAAAGGTCGGGAGGAAAATACAACAACCAAGAATATGCAACAGTGACCATATGTGGCCTGCAAAACCTAAAATGTTTACTATTCCTCAGAGAAAAAGTTTGCCAACTCCTGATGCAGACCATCAAAAACTGATTCAACAGGTATGTTCTGAGAGCCTGCTTACTATTACCAGGCATTGTGCAAAATACAGGCCTTGTAAGTACGAATAAGCAAAAATCCCCTGCCCTGAAGTAGATCCTAGGTTTGTGAGGAAAGGAAACAGCTACTAAGCAATGTGGCTGCTGGTATCACACAAGTGTACTTAAGGTACCACCACAGGAGCAGAAGAAACAACACCTGCCTGTCAGGAAGGTTACTACCATAGACACAGAGGAGAGAACACCCACCTGTCTGCATGAGCCAGAAACACAACTGCCTGAGAAGGAGATGATACCTAAGCTGAGTCCTGAAGGAAGAATATGAGGTCCCAAAAGGGCAAAAAAAGGGAAGGCATTAAGACACAGCATGTGCAAGGGCACAGAGGGAAAAGAGCTCATCATGTGAAATGAGGCGGCAAGGCTGGAGGTGTTCGATGTGTCTGGCTGGAGTGTGGGACTTGTGTGGGGAGTGATGACAGATACTACTGCAGAGAGAAGGTAGATCATTAGCATGTTAGATAGGATGCTGAGAATTCGGATTTTATTGTGGAGATGGGAAGGTGGTGAAGGGTTTTAAGTGGAAACATAATATTTGTGTCTGGAAAACACCTAAGTAAAACAGAAGTTAGGGTGGAATAAAGGAGTCCATATTAAGGGTCTATTTTAGTAAAGCCTAAACTCAGGAGAATTAAGTGGAAATAATAACATTCCTAAGTGTATAGACTTGTACATCTATTCCAAAAATCCTAAAAATGTGATACAAAATCCTAAAATCCTATCCTTTTTGGATCAACTATTCTATTACTGAATTAAGTTCCACCAGAACAGGTTTAGGAATACATAAATTCAACAATACAAATTTTGTTCTCTGTATATTGTTACTCTGGACACCTCTCACAATGCCTTAGCACTCGTGTGCCAGGTAAAGCGTGTGACTCACCGAACATGGCAATATGCTAATATCCATCCATCATCCACCAACACCCGCCTTTCAGGCCTGAAATTCATTTTTAAATCCATTCCATAAGCTCCATATACATGTACCAGCAGAGGTTTCTTCTGCAAGTCTTCAGAATCCGTTTTGTGGAAAATGGTCATTGGAACTAATTTTCCATCCTGGAAGTGAAGAATCAGTATGCATATAAGTAGGAGTCTTTTAAAATAGTTTTATTCCCAATTTTATGTGTTGCTTTATGGTGTTGAGCACAAGTTTCATTTAATTAAGACAAAAGAGTTATGGTCTCTAAAATATATATCATGATCCTTATTTTCAGCTACTCTGTTGACTTTTAATATTAACTAGAAAAGAGCGGCAAGATTCTGGCTTGAAATCAGGTTATTAAATTCAGCTCTTCATGATAGTGAAGCTATTTTCAAGTGTTTTTCACTACCCACAACTACTGTGGTTTTCTTTAAGGGCAAGCCAAAATACTTGTCAAGGTTAGACATACTAGCATAGCATTTTTCCTCTATTAAGGTTAGATTGTGGCATATCTCATCTTTGCATATGTAAAACAAATACGCTGACTAAAGTTTTAACAGCTCAATTTTCTGTCCCCTAGTGTCAGAATTATCAACCATCAGGAACTGAATCTCTTATTGACCTTAATGATATCCATCCACCCATATCCTCTTCAGAGGCCTATTTAAATTTATTTTAAAATGTTTAAAGGTGGTTTAAATAAGTTTTATAAATTTTAACACCCAAATTACTTTTAGGACAGGTAAGTATTCCCCAGTGTAATTCATACTCATCAATTCCAATTGACTGAAACTAGGTACTCGGCACAGACAAAATTAAGATAATCTTAAAAGGGAGGAGAAGATTCTTACTCTGCTTACAGAAACTAATGAAGTAGCACTAGTTTACAAAAGGAAAACAACATAACCAAACACCTCTATTTTTTCATTCTCATTTTGAAAACCTCACTTGGGACACCAGAGGGTTATCAAATAAGGAGGGAATCTTTCATTTTTCTTTATCATATTCAATTTGCTGTAACAGTGTAACTGAATTTTCACTTCTCAGTACTATTCATTCTTATAAAATGATGTAGATTAATTTCATAAAATAATCTTTTCCTTTCATCTCCCTGCTTCCTCCCTAACTTCAATTTAGCAATCAGAGAAAAATTTGCTAGTATAAAATATAAAAAGGAAGAGGTAAGGATGGTAGCAAGTCCTGTGATGGGCCGGATCCAGGGTTCAGCAGTGCCGAAATGCCTATGGAGAACGACAGCAGCTCCCATATAGCAGCTGCTTCCCTTTTGTGTTGTAAGGAATTTCGGAGCTCTCCAAGAACTTGGCTTCATTGTTCTTTCAATTTGGGGTATAATAACCACAACATTTTGACAGACTGGCATAATCCCATATTTACATAACAAAACAAAGCCTAAACATATAATTTTGTTGACAAAAAAATATGGAAGGTGGTACATTAAATGGTAAGCAATGCTTACTTTCAAGAGGTACAAATGGGACTGAAAAGTAGTCAGTTCCATGCATTTTAGCAAGCATGTATTGCTTTTGTACTATTATTTGTGTAAAGACATTAAAAGAAAATCAGTGAATTAAGAAAAAATTTCACATAGAAAAAACTCTGTGTTGCAATTCTTTGTAACACATGAAATTATCTCACATATGATATGTGAAGGTCTGAAAATTCCATAAGTTCAAGGCCACAGTTTATTAATTTGTTTGTCATTTACACAAATTTTTTCTACTTCTCACCGCCCACCCTTCCGTCCTTTACTTTATACTTTGGCCATACTGTCCTCCCTTATACTTTTAAATGCACTCTTTCTCCCTCAATTCAGGGCCTCTGCACAAAACATTCCTCCTGTCCCCTTTCTAGCTTAACTCTTAGTCATCCTAGAGGTCTTATCTGGCACATGACTTCCTCAGAGAAGCCTTTCCTGATCTCTCCACACTAGGCACGATCCCTTTGCCACGTTTCCACTGTACTCTCCTCGCGTCTCCACCGTGTCTTTCCTCGCCACAAGCATTACATTAGAATTACTCTCTAACATCTGTCATCTTTCCTGGTAGACTGAAGCTCCATGAGAGCAGAGATCACATTAGTCTAGTTCACTCTAGTTAACTGCTCATCACCTTCACAATTTTTGCCAAACCTACAAACTAATCTTGACTATTTTTTCTTTAAATATACTTTTAAAATTCAAATATAAACAACATATGAAGAAATCAAGGGCTTGATGTGCTAGTTATACATTTCTTCTACTCAATGTTAAAATAAATACATGAGTATTAAAATTAATAAGAAATGCATGTACACACTAAAATCATTTGAGTCTTGCTGTGGAAGATCTACTTCATGAAACTGCTAATGTAATCCCAGCAACAGCACAATACCTGACAAACAGGTTGCTTTCAGTAGATGGCACTTGATAGTTGAGATTATAAAGACTTACCTTGCTTTTGGCTTCTAGACGTAAAACACGACTAGTTTTTGTGATTGGGTCTTCATGCCCAGTTTCCTCAAACAGTTTGCCTTCTGCAAACTTATACGTGTAATATTTTGGGGGACGTATGGGAGAGCAAAGCTGAAATGGGCAGTTCTTTGGGTCTGAATTTGTATCCATTATGAATCCACAGGCCCAAGGAGGGAGCTAAACAAATAAAATAGTTATTTGCACTTTTTAACTAGACACTATGTATCATTAATTACTTACTGACTGCTCCAAACAAGATGATGTAGACCTCAAGTTTACTTCTATCCATATATATAACACCTCATTTAAAGAGGCATTATATAATTACATATAATTCCTCATTTACTTCAGCCCAACAAAATATAATTCAAGAAAAAAAACAAGCAAAACTCCAAGAAAATGGTTTATAATGATTCTGGATTTATATGAAATCTTTTTTTTTTTTTTGAAGCAGAGGGAAAGTTCTATTTGAATGCATTCCAAGGGAGGAATGGGCCAGAATCAAAGTAGACAAAGGCCTGAAATCTTTTTTAATAAAAATTTTCATTTTAGGGTATAAATTTGGGTGATGAAATAGCAGAATGGTAAGGAATAAAAGCCAAACAAATAGTAATTCCAAAACCCAGCAATAACTCCAAAATCTGTACTCACAGACCATGAAATCTCTCATGTGTTTTTAATAATCTACCACCAGCCCTTACGCAGCCTAGACAGCCACAGTGATGACAGTCATTATTCCAGGGCTACAAACAGGCTCAGCAGCACTAAAGCATTTACAATTTGTTTCTAACTTTAGCTCCCAGGCTAACCATTGTGCAGAACAAAACCTTTCCCAGCACATCCACTCTCAGAGACTCACAGCTATTATCATTAGGATTCTTAACTTTAAGAAAAAAGGAAAGGAATCAAAATTTATTCTCTCAGAGCAGCGGGGTCCACCTTCAAACCTTCCGCTAACATCACTCTTACACCTTTTAAAGAACTTTGGTAAGCAGGCTGAGTTAGAAATGGTACCAGGAGCCAGAACATTAAAAGAAAATTGCCGTTCTTTTCTTGAGTAATTGTAGAAAGAGCAAATTCCTTAGAAAATCAGAGGTCTTGGTACAGCAATATCACTGGTGGGCACTATTCAGAAAGGGTAGGTGGGGGCTGCATGCTTAAAGAGGGCACCATTTAACTTGTAGAAACTACGTACAGCCAAAGAGCTTATGTTCACAGAGCAAATTTCTGTAATTAAGACAAAGAATCTGTTTTCCTGAAATGCTGATAAGGATATGTTTTGGCAATGTTTCTCAAAAAGAGTTCCTAATTTACTCTCCTCAGATTGAGGATTTATTTCAAGGATAAATTTTCTTTTTAAATGCAAGCTATAACTGAAAATAAAAATGTATCCATGAAAGTTGGGAAATTTGGTAGCATAAGTAAAGTGAGCAAACTGAAATCTTAATGGAGAAAAAAAGGAGGAGGAAGCATTGCTACTTATAACCAGGCTTCAGACTGAAGGTATAAGGTTTCTTAGCCCATGGAGGCACAATGTTTTTCGGCTCTTTGGTGAGACTTTAAAACAGTTTCTATGTGACACATTAGTAAGCTATCTTAGTTTATGTGTATAAATACAAACGTAAAAAAGTCTTTTGGTTTTATTTCTTAAACAAGTGGAATCAAGATTAAAATTTTAATCTTAACAAAAACTCTTCCAAAGTTTTGTACTTTTTTAAAGTTTATGCAGCTGATGTAGAAATAAGTATTAACCATCTCAAGGATATCCTAAGTCATATTTTCTATTGAGGTAAACTTGCAATATCAACTTTGTATTTTAATGGATAGCACCCAAGAATAATTATAAATTAGCCAGGTGATATGCAGAGATTCCTTAGATACTTGATAGAAACAGGTTCAGCTTTAGCATTCTACCAGACCACAGTCATTTCATTGAAAGAATAATTAGATCTACAAGCTGAAAGAAAACTGACACAAGTATGCAGACTCCTCCAAATGAATTAATGTTAGCACAAAGCAAAACATTACTCCCTTTGTGCTTAAATTAAATATCATAGTGAATTAAAATACCATAATTTCTTTTTGTGAATAAAAGAAAGTATTACAAGGAAATACTAATGACATGATGAGCAAGGATAGAAGGCAAGTATATTAAGGGTTTTCCATTTCTATTGCTCAGATTGAGTTCAAAAAAATCTTTTAGTCAAGGGCCCACTGAACAGAGATGTTACATACAGAAATACTTAATAATCCACTCAGTTTGGTTTAAAGATTTTGTCCTTTGTGTATGGCACTGTCTATGCATATTAATCAGTGTTATCCAGTTCATGAAGAGGCTCTGATCTATAAAATCCTCTTGAAGTTAGCACCTGGTATATAATATTTGATTCCATAATGGTGATTCATAACATTACAGCAAGCATAAGAGATACTACAGGTTGGGAAGGCTCAGGGAGTAAAGAGATAGAGGATATAGATTAAAGACATGATGTTTGTTTTAATTGAAGTTAAAACCATGGGAACTGAAAAGTATTTTTAAAACAGGAATACTTATAAGAAAAAGTAAAAGGTTGTATTTACTGAGAAGTCAAATCTTATTATAGCAGAGTAAACTCATGGCATTCCTAATTACTTGACATAGAATTTTGTTGTAATAAATGCATTGCTAAAGTTATATATTCTCCCTCATCCCTGTTCATATAGACTGCAACAAGAATTGATGCTCTGCCAGTTTGCCAATTGAAGATCTCTGGATTTGGCATCAATTAGCAAACAAAAAGATACGTTTTGAATCCAGTAGATGAAGGCAGTAAGAAAACGAGAGTAAAATCACTATTTTTGTTTTAGGGTACCTACATAGTCTTCTAAGACAATGGACATTGCATTTGATAATTTGATTTTAGGGAGTAGCAAGCAAATTCTGTTGCCTTAGGCTGTTGGTATTTCTTAGGTTTACCACTGTAACAATCTCAAAACGAATTTCCCTGTCCCTTACCTCTTCTTGCTTCAGTGGTCCTTACCATGGCTCCCAGATAACCTCATGAATAGCTCAACTCCTCAAACCATCTTCCTACCACCCCAAAACTTCAAACCATCCTCCTATCCCTCCCTCTTCATAATTTATGACTAAATTCCTTACCCTGACAGTCAAAGATTGTCAGATCATAGCTTCACCTCCTACACATTTATTCTGCTTCAATAAAACAGAACTATTAACAGTTTCCTGAACATTTTTGAACTTCCCCAGCCTAGAGCTTCATCTGATGGACTCATCTCATTCTAGAATATCATTTCCCTTCTGACCCGTAAAAATACTCTCAAATTCCATCTTTCTTCTTTGATGCATCTCAAATTCTACTTTCCCTACAAAAGCTTTCTGGGTCCTTTCCCTCTCCTTTGGGCCCCCCAGCACATTTTATGTTTTTGGCACCATGTATGTAAACCCACTTTATACTTAATCTTTGTGGACTAGTCTAACCTCACGATAAACTGTATCCTCCTTAAGGCCAGATATTTTGTTCTGCTATCTTTTTAGCCCAGAGTGCCCAGTACGGTACTTTGCACACAGAAATTCAGTAAACATTCAGTGAATTTATTGGACCTACATTTTAGCAGAAATTGTGACAATATTGCAGAAAGGGAGGTGTAAGTGGTCAGTGCTTGCTGCTCAGTGGCTCAACCATATGAAGTAAAATGAAGGCCTTTCCTCTTCTCTTCAGTGCCTGTTACCTTAATTTGCATGTTTATGCTGCTTTAAGACTAGTTAGTCTAGTGTTTACGTAGGTAAACACTAGCTAATAAGGTTTCCATTCACTAATTCTAGCAAGTTCATTGTGGAGGCAGATGATCTTTCTTGGCAGCCACAGGCAGTACCAACAGTTGCCACTGTCACAGCTATGCTGCAGTGGAGACCACTGAAAGAAGTTATTATTATCTCCTTATTGAAAGAGGTTGCAGTAAGTTTGCATCCCTCCTAATAGCTCACAGGTAAGAAAACTGATGAAGAGAAAATGAAGCAGGCACAAGCATGCAATGGCAGAAACACCATTGGCATGATTGGTTTCCCTACCGGCGGGTGTGGGATGGGAGCAGCAGGCAGTGGTTGGGCACTAGCTGTCAAGTTGGCTTGAGTTATTACTATATCTACAGTTGTGGAGATCTGTGATATATAGAGATATGTACAAAGAAAAATATAGTTCTCTTTTTCTGAAGTTCATGCTATAAGACACCATTTTAAGGAAAACTACATTAAAAGCAAGGTCCTCTAAAAATTCTAAAATCTCCTAAACCTGTGAAAGACCCAGTATGCTAAATTCCATTTAAATTTATTTTAAGAAAAAGCACATTGCTATTATTTAACATCTGATGCTCTATACACTAAACTGCATGTATTTTGATTAATCATACTGTCTTCTGAAAATTAAACATACCTTTAGAGACCGAACCGAATCATCAGCCAGACCAATCACATTAACATAAAGTAGATTGCTGTGCTTCAGGAACAGAACACAGTGGTCCTTAAACATGTCCAAGTCTACAACTTTGGTATTTCTCTTCATTGTGAAAAATAAATCCCAATTCATAATAGCAGGGGTATCAGCTGCTGTTCTCATGAGCTATGTGGAACAAAGTTAGAAGAGATCTAGGTAATCAAACATGAAGACTACAGCAACCAGAGACACTATTGAAAACTAGTCTTCCCTGCTTTGTGAAAAGCTGAAGGAACAGATATTGCATCAGGGCTGCAGTGCGACCATCAGCATGTGAATGCGTCCAGGCTAGCCTGCTAGGTGGTGAGATAGCACAGCCCAGTGCTTTGCTGACAGCCAACCAAAGGACAGCTGAGTGAGGGCATTGATATCCAGGTGACCGGGTGCATTAGTGAGCCTAGCTGAGGACCAGCAGAAAACCTGCTGGGCTGAGATCAATCCAAATAGCTAACTTACAAAATTACAAAGTTTTACAAAAGTTTGGTTATTAAAGTCACTAAATTTGGCTGTGATAACTAATATAATCAGGGTAGAGTATGTTTCATTTACTAACCTTTTCAGGCACAATTAAAATATGTAGAAGTATTATCTCAAGGGAAAAGGAATGGGATTATTATGCATAGGAAGGTAGCATCAATTACTGTACCAAAAGCCTACAAAACAATGAATTCTTAGAGTATGAAATGTTGCTGATGGAAAATGACACTCCTTAATGGCCCAAATGGTGACAAGGAGAATCCAAGATTACCTTGAATTCTGTAGGCTCGCCAACATTAGTGAGAATGTATAATTCATCATCTCTGTGTTCAACATAGTACAGGACTCCATGTATTCGCTTCTGGATAAGTACTGGTGGGTCCCAGGGGCTTAGGCCATCTATCAACCACACTTCAGAAGTGGTCTTGTTCATAATATTTATGGTAAGGAAACGACTGTCTTTTGTAAGATAAAGGAAAACAAAATAGCTAGAGAGAGAAAAACATGAAAATCTAGTAAATTTCAAATGTATTCTACCTTGTTAATGACAGTATTTCACAAGTGGTCAATATATATGTTGAAAAACTTCTTAGTGAACACTGCTTATAAATTGAAAAACTGAGTATTATTTTTCTTATTTCCCCCCAAGGCACTCAAAATAATTTCATCTCTAAAAATTTATTATGAGCATTTTTTAAACACACAGAAAAGCTGAAAGAAATGTAAGGTGAATACCCACATACCCACTACTGAGATTTAATAAGTTCCAACATTTTGCTGTATTGCATCACAAACTTGTGCATCCATCTATTTTTGAATGTATTTCAAGGTAAACTAGAACATCATCTAACTCTCACTTAATCACATTAATAGATGATAGAGCTTTTTGTTGAGAACAGGAAGTAAACTTCCTAGAGGAGATATGTAGAGAAGAGGAGAGACAGAGTTTACTTTGTTCTTCCTCTGTATGCACGTTGGGATTTCCTTTTCTCCTCTCTCTCCCATCCCAGTTTTTATATAATAAACTAGAACAATAGAAGAAAACCTCACAATCCCACTAACCTAACACATTTTTAAAATTAATGTTAACTATTTACATTTTTCTATTTTTCCTTCTAAGATTTATTTGTATTTCATGCATATTTTAAAATTGATGTAACTAAAATGCAGATACCATTTGGACTCTGTTTTTCTTACTTCAGAGTATCAGTATCGTACCCCATATTACTTATACAGTTCTTTATGATCATTACTTTAAATAGCTACCTAATATTCTATCAAGTTGAATTATCATAATTCTTAAAAATTTGAGTTGTAATGCTTTATTATAATATGGAATGTAACAGGGAACATATGCGTGAAGACAGTTTCTGCCTCCCTGACTTTTACAATTATTACCTCAGGATGAATTTTTAGGAATGGCAATGCTAATTTAATGATTGAGAGTATTTTTATAATAATTAATAACTATAACCAAGTAATATTCTAAGAGCATTATGCTGATTCACAATGATATACCAGATGGCTTTAAATGTTATATTTACATGTTTTCTTATTGTAAAGTAATTGAACATACTGAAAAATATAAAGAAGGATGATAACCCTGAATCCCACTACTCAGAGATAACCATGGTTATGATTTTGGTCAAATTCCTTCTGTATTGGATTACATTACCATGTTTGTCAATTTTTTTATTTCTTCAGTGATGTATCCATCCCCATTTTAAACCTGAGATGTAGTTTAAATTATTGGTCTATAAACATCTTCTCATAAATTAAAGGTATTAACTTGTCCTTTTATTGAAAAACTTTGCTCCATTTTATCATCTGGATTTTTATTTGTTTACAATAGTTTCTGACTTAAGAGTTTAATATTTAAGGTAATCAAGAATATTGACACTACCATTTTAAATTTCTTTTGTTGATTTCATGCTTTGGAAATATTTTAACCAAGTTGAGTAAAATGATTTTCATCTAGGGTTTTTTTTTTTTTTTGATAGTTTTATTTTTGTCCAAATACTCAATGTTTCTCATAGCACCAAAAAATAATACACATTTATTTTTCATTAATTTGTGATACCTCTTTTACCATAGAGTAAGCTATTTTTTTAAACATACTAGGGTCTGTTTTAGAGTTATCTATTCTGGTCTCTATTATTTGTCAATCTGTCCTACTTAACTGTTGTAGCTTCATATATTTTAATATATGATTGTAAGGAAAGTCCTTACAATCTTTTGCTTTTTAGTTTCAAAACTTTCTTTGCTATTTTTATCTATTTTATTTTTGTTTGATGCTGACAAAGGTAGTCAAAGGATAAATTACTTGGTCAATTATTTGGTGGGTAAGTGGATACAGGGAAGTGAGAACACAAGTGGTTCTATAGTAAAAGGCTTCTTATAAGCAGAAGACAAGTCATGGTAACCACAAAGCAAAAACCTACCAGTAGATACACAAATAATAAAGAGAAGGGACTCTAACAATACCACTATGGAAAATCATCAATTCATAAATGAAGAGAGGAAGAAAAGAAGAAAGGAACATAGGAACTACATGTTAGCCAGAAAACATTAGAAAGATGACATTATTAAGTCCTTACCTATCAATAATTACTTTAAATGTAAATGCATTAAATTCTCCACAGACAAAAGACAGAGTGGCTGAATGGATTAAAAAAACAAGACCCAACTATATATGCTGGCTTTAAGAAACTCACTTCAGCTTCCTCACTTTCTGTAACAGACTCAAGGTAAAGTGATGGAAAAAGATAGTCCAAGCAAGTGGAACCAAAAGAGAGCAGGAGTAGCTATATTAGTGTTGGACAAAATAGTCTTTAATTAAAAAGCTGTAACAAGAGGGCCATTATATAATAAAAAAGGGGTCAGTTCATCAAGAGGATTTAATAATTATAAATATATAGTATGCATTTATATTAGAGCACCCAAATATATTGAGCAAATACCAACAGATTAGATAAATAGACAACAATATAATAGTGGGAGACTTCAATACCCCTTTTCAACAATGGAGAGATCATCCAGGCAAAAAAATCAATAAGGAAATGTTGGAAAGGAAAGGACTCCTCATTAAATTAAGTTGAGAAAACTGGGTAATAATATACAGGAATATGTTAGGTTACAAAACAAGTCTTAAGAAATTTAAGAAAACTGAAATCATACCAATTATCTTTTCCAATTACAAAGGCATTAAATTAGAAATCAGTAACAGAAAGAAAAACGGAAAATTCACAAATACATGGAAATTAAACAGTACATTCCTGAACAACCAAAGGGTCAAAGAAATCAAAAGGGAAAAAAATATCTTGAAACAAAAGAAAATGGAAATACAATATACCAAAACATACCGGATGCAGCAAAAGCAACTGTAAGAAGGAATTTTATAGTAATAAACATCTACATTAAGAAAAAAGAAATATATCAAATAAACAACCTAACTTGTTCCTAACCTCAAGGAACAAGAATGAAAAAATAAGGACAAAGTTAGCAGAAGGAAGGAAATAACAAAGATCAGAGTAGGAATAAATTAAAGAAAACAGAAAAACAATTGAAAAGATCAATGAAACTAAGCTGCTTTTTGAATAGATGAAAGTGACAATAAACCTTTAAATAGACTAAGAAAAAGAGAGAGAATACTTACGTAAAACCAGAAATGAAAGAGGAGACATTACAATGGATACCACAGCAATACAAAGGATCATAATACTGCTACAAACATCTACAAAATGGATGCAGAAAAAGCATTTGATAAAATTCAACATCCATTCTCAGCAACTGTGAATGGAAGGAACACACCTTAAATTATAAAACCCATATATAACAAGCCTACAAGCTAACATCATATTCAATGGTGAAAGGTTGAAGGCTTTTCCTCTAGGATCAGGAACAAGGCAAGGGTGCCAACTCTCACCATTCCCAATTAACAAAGTACTAGAAGCCAGAGCAATCAGGCAAGAAAAATAACAAGCATCTAAATCACAGAGGATTGGCAGGTGATATAATCTTATATATAGAAAATCCTAAAGATTCCACCAAAAAACTGTTAGAACTAAAGAGTGAATTCAGTAAAGTTGCAGGAAATAAAATCAACATACAGACATCTGTTGTACTTCTATACTCTAAGAATAAAATATCTGAAAAAGAAAATCCCCTTTTGAAATGGTATCAAAAACAATAAAATACTTATGAATAAATATAACCAAGGAAGGAAAAGATTTGTACCCTTAAAACTATGAGACTTTGATGAGAGAAAATGAAGACACAAGTAAATGGGAAGATATCCCATGCTCATTGATGGGAAGAATATTGTTAAAATGTCCATACTACCCAAAGCCATCAAATGTAATCCTATTGAAATTCCAATGGCATGTTTTACAGAATAGAAAAACAATCCTAAAATTTGTATGGAACCACAAAAGACCCCGAATAGCCAAAGCAATCCTGAGAAAGAGGAACAAGTCTGGAGGCATCAAATGATTTGAATTCAAACTAAATTACAAAGTGATAGTAATCAAAACAGTATGGTACTGGCATAAAAACAGACACACAGACCAATGGAACAGAATTGAGAGTCCAGAAATAAACCCTCACATATATAGTCAAATAGTATTTGACAAGGGACCCAAAAATATTTAATGAGGAAAGGACTCTTCATTAAATTAAGTTGAGAAAACTGGGTAACAATATACAGAAGAATGATACTGGACTCCTATCTTACCCACTCATAAAATTAACCTGAAGTGGATTAAGACTTAAACATAAGATGTGAAACCATAAAACTCCTGGAAGAAAACACAGAAAAACTTTGACATAGGTCTTAGCAATGATTTTCTGAACCCCAAAAGCACAAGAAACAACAACCAAAATACAAAAGTAGGACTACAGCAAACTAAAAAGTACCTGCACAGCAAAAGAAACTATCAACAAAATGAAAGGTACCCTACAGAGTGGGAGAAAGTATTTGCGAAACATCTATCTGATCAGGGATTAATATCCAAAATATTCAAGGAACTCAGATAACTCAACAGCAAAAAAGACCAGATAATGTGATTAAAAAATGGGCAGAGGACCTCAATAGACATTTTTCCAAAGAAGATATACAAATAGCCAACAGACACATGAAAACGTGTTCAACATCACTTTCATTGGGGAAATGCAAATCAAAACTGCAATGACATAATACTTCACACCTGTTAAAATGCTATTATCAAAAAGACAAGCAGTACTACTGTTGGCAAGGAAACAGAGAAAAGGGAACCCTTGTGTACCTTTGGTAGGAATGTAAATTGATATAGCCATTATGGACAGAATTATGGAGGTTCCTCAAAAATTCAAAAGGGAGCTACCATACATGATCCAGCAATCACACTTCTGGTTACATATCCAAAAGAAATGAAATCAGGATCATGAAGAACACACATACACACACACACACACACAGCCATGAAAAATAAGGAAGTCCTGCCATTTGCAACAACATGGATGGACCTTGAGGGGATTATGCTAAGTGAAATAAGTCTTTCTTCTTACTACTTGTACTTGTTGCAGCCATTATACTTGCATGGGCAGCAAACTCCAATTTCTCATTCTGCAGTATTATATGGGTATGCATGTGATGAGTTTGAAATGATCTATGTGGATTTTTCATTTGCCTAAATGTATTAAAAAATAACTATATTCAAAGGTATGAAAGAAACCTGGATCCATGAAATAAACCATGGAGTCAATATGTGAGTGTCATTACCCAATCCTAAAGCATCCTAGGTAAAGTATTACCTTGGATACAGAAACTGAACAAGTGATGGTTAGTCCAAGATCAGACAACCAATCTGTAGAAGTAAGACTAGGTGTGCCTCTAAAGTTCTTTTTATTTGAAATATCTAAGATGCCGAGTGTTTGACACAGCTTAATACACTCAAGGTTACTCTGAGTTTGCCTCACTGGGATCTCTGAAGGCTTCCTGGGAGCCTATAGTGACCAAGCTGGCTTCAGTGACCTCCTGTTCTGGCCTCTGGTGGTAGAATCACATTGTAAATGGTACAGTGAATAGCATTTGTACCAGTAATTATTTTTATTGGTGGGGGTGGAGGGGGGCGAGGAAGTGTTTTTCAGTGACTTAAAAATCAGGTCTCCTAATTCTGTCTAGATCTTTCCCATCAGAAACTACATAAGGCTGCTCTCCTTAGAATGTGTGAATTAAATGGCTCTGGAAATATCTGCAAATGGAAGAATGAGTATTCAAAATATACCAATCTTTAAGAATAGAAGAGCAGGATCTTCCTTGTACCTCATTTTTACTCTACTATCAAAATAGAAAACTAGCTTTGAACAACCAAATGTACTTAAATACTGAAAACTAAGTAGATGAAGAACCTGGGTGGTGAGGGTTTTTCTTAGCCATATCTGTAACTACGTTTTTCAAAATCAGGTGTCCACACTGGGCCAATAGCGGCAGGTAAATGGAAATTATAAAGTCAATTTGGCAAACTTTACTTGTAAAAACAGAAAATTGATACCTGGGGATCAAAAGAAATAGAGTTAAAGCAGCTCTGTGGTTTCTACCTTTACTCCATTTTCTTTTCAAGTATTCTGCTTTTCCATTTTGGTCCTCTCCTTTGGATTTGAGGCTGTTTATAAAGTATTCAGAATCCACCAACTAGTTTGTGCTGTATGTAGAACAGGGTTCTGAATACAAAACTAGGCTTAAACATATTTAATTATGGTTAGTTCCTAATGGAGCAGAAAAAGAATGCTATAAGCCAAATAGTTTCCAAAAATCCTAAATGCATGTTTGACAACTGACTTAATCTTAGAATTCAGGATAGTAACAATGTATGTCAAGTAAGTACCTTACTCAAGAGTATAGCTCAGTGGGGCAATTTTGAGCTAAGTTTATTCACAGATGGAAAATAGCTCAGAGTCTTAAGTCACTGATGATAACATAAATTACTAGCTTAAACTGTCATCTCAAAAGATGTCCTTGACAAATGACATGAAAATAGCAGAATCATATGAAAAAACAGTTCTGGTAATTTCTCACTGAAACTCTCAACATCAGAAAAAATAGCAATGAGAGCATTACTGGACCAAAAATGTTAGTTTTATGGGCTGGCATAATGTAATTTCTCCAGACTTCAAATCTATAATATAAGCTGTGAATTCTGTGCAACCAACATCATGGTATTGACATAAGAAAGATTTATAATTGCTGTATGGCAACCTTATTAAATGTTTAATTAGCAACTCCTGTGTCACAGTCCAGAGAGAATGTTAGCAACTTAGCATTTGCAGTCTAATGATGTATTTATTTGTATTTACTATGGAGTTGGAATATAAACAAATTCCAATTCTGAATCTAAAAACTAATGAAAGAATGGTCATGCTCATCTTAGCCTTATTACATTTGGTCCCAGCCAAAATCAACATTTTAAGTCAACAAGTGGCAGTACTTTAGATAACTGGAGAAATACTCTGGAGAAAAAGATTACATTGTATTATTTTACTACCTTGGGTCTTTTTCTGTGTAAAAACGTTCATTACGTTTGTTATCACCAAAAGTGGCTCGATATACATCATGACAGCGAAGGTTCCTCTGGAAGGTGTAGAATAAAACATCTTCCTCTTCTTCATCCTTTACCCATTCTGAAAGAAAGTAATTAAGAATTATCCATAGCCACCTACTTACAGTTGGAAAAAAAAAAAGTGCACAATGCATTCTAATTTTGAGTGCCAAAGAAAAGAGATGTGCAAATTTATCCCTAGAAATCATATTCTAATACAGTTTTACTGTATCTAACCTATTACATAAGTCGGAGCTTTCTAGAGAATAAAATGCTACTACATCAGTTCCAAGTTTTCAATTAGTTATCAGTCTCAGGTTTCTAAATAAGAGTTGAATCCTTAATATTTAGGAGAATTTGGTGAGTCACATTTTTCTCTCAGGAGATGAATTATGTTCACATTTATAGCCTCTAATTCTGAAGGAATACACTGGATCACTTTCTTTCATGCCTGAAATCTTTTCAGGATGCCTTTAAGCCACAGGTATCTCAAACAACCAAATATATTTTAATGTTGGTGTTTTCTTGATCTTACCAGCAGCAGCCAATGGAAGTTTTCACACAATTACATCATGACTGCCACCTGGCTGACATTGACTGTAAGACAGCATAGTATAGTATGCATCCTGGTTTTAGAGAGGTTAAAATGTACAAAATATATGCCTTAGAAGCAATTAGATAGGGTATAATTTCAATTCATTGTAAAAGCATTTAGTTATTAAAAATGGGGAAAACTATGGCAGAAAATGAAAAGGGAGGACAAAGTATGAACATATGTATCAACTCATTGATAAATGATAAAATTTAAAGTTGGTTCTGTTAGTAAAAATATCACAACTTCTGTTAATAATTAATTGAACATGTTCCAAAGTTCCTCAGTAGTAACCTCAGGCAACCTGCTATAATAGCTCCACAAGGTAAAATGAAATTAAAAAGTTTTAAAGAAGAATAAAACATTAAGATACAACTTACATGCAAAAATGTATTCTAAGTAATAAATTAGAGAATTACTCATGTATCAAAATAAACCATACAACTTGAATTCTGACTATAATACTTTTAAACATGAATTTGGATATATGATTAAAGAAGGAAAGGTCTCCTGAAAAAGAGGCATAGGGGAAGGAGTGAAGTCCACAGAAATAAATAAATGGTTCAGGCACTCATCTTCTCATTCATTGAAATGGGCAAGTGAAAATATTTCAGAAGTGTGGACAGTTCTCTCACTGTTGCCTTTTCAAAACTGAAGACTGCTGTGGTTGGTGGCTTACCAAAACTGGACACATTTGGGAAAGAAGCTTCCATTATGGGCTGGTCACTGAGCTTTACAACTATACAGGTAGATGCTTCAGAATCTTCAGTTCTTATCTTGGCAGCTACATACTTTTCATCAGGAGCAACTCTGATACAATCGATAAAGGGCTGGTCTAATTTAAGTTCCTCCAAATTGAATAAAACTTCATAATTATCATTGTCTGCTGCAAAAAGAAAAGTATGGAAGAGATAACTCCACAGATACATACACCTAAACATTTTTAAAAAATTGTCTTTCATTGTTTTAAATTAGCATCCCCCTTGTATAAAAGCTATATTCTCACTTTCTCCAGCATTGATGGCAGTTTGATTTGCACAGAAAGTGGCATTAGTTATTTAATATTAATCTCTGCTATTCAATATTATTCCTTGTATCAATTTACATTGATACCATCTAGAACCTAGAAAGTTAGATAATGTAAATGACACTGAATCATCTATGTATAGTGCCTAGCATAGTACCCAGGGTACAGCAGATGCTCAAAAAATGCTGGCTTCCACCTCCATTCTCCCTGCCACAGCTTTTGAGGACAGTTGTTTACTATACCTTAGACCCAGATATTAAAAGCTAGTTATTTAAAAAAATTTTTCTAGAAATAATCTAAAAAAGTAACTTCTTTGAGAAGTCAGTATCAAATTTTCTGTGAAAACTGTGAAATCCAAAAAATCAGAGTATGTTAAAAGGAAAAACTGTGGTATACCTTCTTCATCTTTGGAACGAACCAAACAGCAACCTTCTTGATAATAAACAAAACCACCATGTTTAACCTGATAATAAGTAGAAACAAATGGTTTATTTAATATAATAAGTTTTATAATTTAAACATTATTTAATACAGTCTCACTGTTCAGGATGAAGAAATGAGATCTTTTATAAAAAGCAGACCTGTTGAAGTCTATGAATGGATTTTAGATCAAATGGACCTAAAAGACATACACAGAATATTCCATCCAACAGTGGCCAAATACACTTTCTTCTCAAATGCACAAAGAACATTCAAATAGATCACTTTTTATAACAATAGTTAAGATATGGTTTGCTTATGTTCATAATCACTGGAGGAGTTTCTAAATATATAAATGTCAGAGGCAAGAAAGAATCTATGTCAGTTCTTATGACTGTGCAAATCACTTTAGCTATATTTTAGAAACACCTGAAATCCCTATAGTGGGGTTTAGTTAAGAGAGATCAACTGGCCTCTAAGACAACCTAATATGAGGCAGATTAGGAAACTGTGACTCAGATTAGTCTGAAGACCCAGTCAATAACTTTGATATTCTTTTATCTAAAATATGCTGTCACTACCAGCTGTCCATAGTCTTGATTTGACTTTACATGTAGTATCTTATCCTCTGTGAGGTGACAGATACAGACAATTTGAAATGAGAGAATGAACACTATCAATATATGAATAGTGCTCTAATACCTACATATTAAATGTAACTGATTGATTGGTTTCAGGTACCTTATGCACATTTATTACCTGCCAGTTAGTGGTGTACTTTGAATCTGGAATTCCTTATTCTTAACCTACTGTTATTTCCATTCTACTAAGTGTGTGATTTTCATTTATAAGTTATGGTTCTGTTTTCTAATTTTACTGAGAAAATTTCAACATGCATATTCAGTTTGTTTCGACTGAATATTTGTAACTCTGTTAACCATAAAATGGTCAAATACTTGGCTTTCATGGTGTTGTATTTCTTAGAGTAAATTCCCGTTTCTAAAAAAAAAGTGTAGACAGAGCAATAATATACTTTTCAAATAATACAAAAACATGACTTAGTTTCATATGCTTTCTCCTTGGAATTCTTTTAAAAATTTTACAACAGCATTGGTTGTTTCCAGAAACCAGAATTCACATAACATACTTGGAAATTCATCTTGGTTTTGATCTTGATAATTTGTTTTAAGGGTCACACTCTGTTTTCCTGTATTTTTTAAGTTTTGCAGCATATTTTAAAGGCCAAAAGCAGTCTAATTTTGATGGGGAATTCTGTCTATAAATCACAAGGTATTTCATTTTTATTCTAACTGGTAATATCATATTTTCTTAAAAAAAACAACATATCTTACCTCTGCATTGATGATTTCATATTCTTCTTGTGGCTGTGTTTCTAATTTTGTTCTCACTTTTTCAAATGCATCCATATTTTCTGAAAGTAATTTTTCTTTTTCTTGTTTAATAGGCAGAAAATCCTGAAAAAAGTTTTGTTGGTATGATCACAGTATTTCAAACTATAATCTCTTTTTTATTTAAAAATGTAGACAAAGAAAATAAAATGGACTCTTGATACATCCTGTACCATTAATTTAAGTGAGTATATCCTTGAGATGCAGAAGTACTGAGCACTGCTAGAGAATGTTCAGAAGTACCATGGGAAAGGTTTACATAAAATCAAGCAGCAAAGGAAATCCTATGAATGTTTACATATTTAGTAGGGGGGAGAGGTAAAAAAAAAAAATCTACTAAGTTTTACAAAATAAGAAAATACTGCCTAAAAGGAGGAAAATGTCAAAGGGGAAGGAAGACATTATCTTTATTAATAAATGTTCACTATCATTTTATTCACAGCCAGAGTTAAGAAATTTGCCCTATTTCATGTCTTCATTAGCCACAATCTTCCTCTCTTGTGGGGGATAAGGAATCCCCCAATACAACTGTTTATCAGATCAAAAGGTGAATTAATGCTTTATAAAACAATGCTTCTCTTTGAGCTTAAGGAAAAAATAATATATTCACCTTATAAAAGAACAAGGAAAAATAATGGAAAATTAATGACCACCAGTAGAGATATACATGAAAGCCAAATAAGCACTCAACATCTTATTGGGAGTAACTCATAGGCTAAAAGCTTTAGCTGACCTCCAGTAAGCATATAAATACCACATGAATTATTAAAATTTGGATAAGGCAAAACCTCAGTTGTCAAATACAAAATGGGTTCAATAACTCAATGCTCCACAGGTTTGCCTTGTTTAAGCAAAAGAATTGTAACCATGATTTTGACATCTGCTTTCTGCCAAAGATGACAACTGTAAAGAGATTTGTGCCAGAGGGGCATTAAGCCTTTGGTTAGGACCTCCAACAGCTGGTAAATATTTATTGCATGAATGTATCCATGATACTTTACCAACATCGTACAGAATGTAAGCTATAAATATCATTTATGAGTTTATAATCTAAATTAAACACAAGAATAAAATAGAAATATCAAAACAAATTAAATGGAAAAATAATCATTTGCACAGTTTTCCCTTTACACTTTTTGAGATGCTTTATAATTTGGATTAGATTCAAATCAACAAGGGTTGTTTATGTCGTCTGAAGGTTTCAGTCCCTACCTCAATCACATAATTAATAAGCTTAAGTAATTATTTGGCATCCAAATACTGGAGGCTCATATGTTTAATTTTCCTTATTTTTTTAGCATTTCTACAAAGTCTAGATATGATCTCTAGACTAGAGAGGCATAATATTTGTATCAATAATTTCTTACTGTCACCCCAAATACAAATCCCTAGAAATCTGTCCTGAGGCTATAACTTCACAATAGGAGATGGCTTTTCATTTCTAGGTGTGTTCTTTTTTGTTCTGTCATTCCCATAAGGGGCTAAAGGTAACAGAGCTGGGCCCAATACTAGTCCTCTTAAATTTATTTTACATTCTTGATTAACTTTTTCTGTGTCAAAAATCCAAATAAAGCAAGTTTTTCTAAATCAAAATAATCCTGGAAGTAATATGATTTTTAACTGCCTTAACAAAATGGAAGTAGAATTCAAGAGCTTTGAAAATAATTCCTCAAAAGAAATTATTCCCAGGGAAATTGGGATTTTATATAATATTCAGAGAATACTTTTAAGTTGTTTTTAGTTTTAGTTTTGTACAAACAATATGTACTGGTGTTTTAAGCTTTCATTTCAATGACAGCTAGCATTATCATTAGGGTACACTGCTAAATGTATCCAATTTAGCCAAATATCTTAATACATTAATAGTCTATAGGTTTCAAGGGCATGTATTACCTAATGGAGCTGAGAGGATTGGACAGCTCTAACTTGAAATTTTAAGGTTACATGTACACTATCGCTCCATTAGCAGAAGAAAGAAGCACTTCTTCCCACCTTCCAGGTGGCCCACCATAAACCATTTAACAATGAAAACTTGTAAAATGAGAATGGAATACAAAAATTTTATTATGGTAAAAACGTTGAACATCTGTAAATAAATTCAAATTATTTACAGATGGAAAAACAGCACAGTAGAAAGACAACAGATAGCTTTTGGTCAAGATGGTACCATAAGCAAATGGCTAATTCCAAGTCTCGGTCAGGGAGAGTAAAAAGTAGGCTTGGGCTGTCTTGTGCCAGAAAGCAAGTAGGTGCTCAAAGATTAATGGAGGTGTGTCAAAAGGACCCAATGGCCAGTTTGTAGGGGTTCCTACTAGTCACATTTGGGACAATTTGAACATCAAAAAGAATAATGTACCTGATTACAATTCACTGAAAAATTTAAATTCACACTAATCTGAAATGAGGCAACAATAACAAAATACCACACACCGAAGTAAAATAAAAAAATAAAACAAGGGGTCAATAAAAAAAGGAGACTCTTCTTTTTAGAACAATACCAGCTAATAATTGTAGAAAAAACAGAATTAGAAAATCATTAGCAGCCCCCAGTGAAACAACTGATTAGGCTGAGATCATCAATGACTGTTAAACTCATTAAGTAGAAGCATGTTGGGTAATACAATATTTGCACAGAACCAAAGTATTACCCTATTTAACTTAGTAATTGCAAAGGGAATAAATAATTTTCCTTTACGAATGAAGAGGATTTTCAGTTAACACCTTAACCAAAATTATCAAGTTTAGCATCAACAGTGGGACAAGCTGATATTATGTGTCTTCTGTTATAATGCAATATGAAACACTTGCATTGAAGATATAAAAAGAGTAAACCTAAAGTAGAAGAAAGGAAATAAAATTAATTTCCATTGCTGAAACTGAGAAAGTAACTAAGGAGATGATCAACAAAATAAAATGTTGGTTCTTTGAAAAATGTACTAAAAACTGATGTACAGCAAAGAGTTAAAAAATTTGGAATAAAAAAGTGGCTTAATTACAGATATAATAGAGATTTTTAAAAATCACAAAAAGTTCTTTATGCCAATACATTTAAAAACACAGATGAACTGTGTAATTTTCCAGAAAATAAATGAATTGCCAAAACTGACTTAAAAAACTAGAAGAGCACTATAAGTCAATAACTATCAAAGACATTGAAGTGGTAATTAAGTGTCTCCCTTTTAAAAGAGACACCAAAGCCAGATACTTACAAAGCTAGCTTTCTTGAATCTTCAAGGAACAGATAATCTCATATGCCAACTAGTCAAGAAAAAAATTCTATTTAAAACTACTCAACTTATTTTATCAGTCTAATATAATCTCGACACCAACACTGGACAATGACAATTTAAGACAGTTACAAATCAATTTTACTGTAAAATATGGATACAAAAACCTAAAATATGATAAATGAATGTATTTTTTTTAAAGCACAAAACAAAAATAATAATAGAAATAATAAAACCCTATATGACCAAGCAGGATTTATCTTAAGAATGAAAGGATGGTGCAACATTAGAAAAATCCATGTAATCTAACACAAATAAAGGAGGTAAGTCTTAGGGCTATTTGATTAATGCAGGAAAAAAAACATACATAACCTAAAATTAGGAATAGAGAGGAAATTCCTTGACTTGATAAATGGTTTCTTTGTTGTTTTACACAGAACCATACTAAATCTGTAATTAATATGCCTGAAATGTATTCATATTAGTATACATCTTATTTAGCATTTCTGAACCTTTTCAAGAATCTTAATTATATTCATTTAAAACACCTAGTTATATTTGCTGTTTATTTCATTATTCAAAAGTGATTAACTGAAGGAATTCTTTCCTATGCTCTCTGCCTCCACTTCCTCTCCTCCCTCTTCTCTTGAGCCCAGTAGGATTTTTGCCCTTCTCTTTCCACTTACTGCTCTTGTCACGGGCACTGATGGCCACTGCACTGCAAACTGTGAACATTAATTCTAGGTATTCATAGTAATTGACCTAGTGGCATCATGATACAGTCGCTCACTTCCTCCTCCTAAAAATTGATGTTGCTCCAACATGTCAGGTTTGTTCCTACTTCAGTTCCTTACAGCTTTCTGTGCCCTATGCCTAAACACTTCAAGATATTGCTCGAAGTGTCACCCTCTCAGCTAGGCTTTCCCTGATCACCCTACTACAGTAACAATCCTCCCTATCCTAACATGGCTTGTTCATTCCCTCCCTGTCTATTTTACATTGTACCTATTGCCTCATATTTCACTCATACATTTCTTGGTTCTCTCTCCTCTCATCTGGAATGGTAAGCTCCATGAAGGCAGGGATTTTGTTTCCTTTGCTCACTGCTATATAACAAATGGCTAGAATGGAGCATAGCAGATGCCCAACAAATAATTGCTGAGTTGAATCAAACACATCACAAGCTGGACCCCTAACCCTCACACCATATAAAAAAATGAACTTAGAATAGATCACAGACCTATGTCTGAGGCTTCTATGCTCACAGATGCATAGTTTGAGAAAGAGTTCATACTGGATGATTTCTGAAGTTTTTCTTCCAGTAATAAAATTTATGGTTACATGAAATTAAAAAATTCATTCATTCAAATCTTACTTCATTCCACAAGCATCTATTGCTTATCTACTATGAGGCAGTCATTATGCTATGTGTTGGGCATATAAAGATATCTGTTACAAAATTCTTGTCTCTATGGCCTTCCTAATCTAATGGGAAGAGAGAGAATATTTTAAATGATACATTAGTAGCAAGTAAATAAATATAGTGTTATAAAATTCTGGCTTCAACCACTGCCTGTATATGGACAACTCTCCCCAAATTCCAGACTCATATATCCAACCATCTATTGAAATCTCCACCTTAGTAGTGAGTTATATTTATTCCTTCTCCTTCCTTACCTTTAAGATATAAGTAACTGTAAGGCTACCCCATGTGACTGTGAAATACGTCCATTTGAAACATAACCTAGATGTACTTTGGAATTTTGTCATTTTGGCAAGTTAACATGGTGCCTATCCCATAAAGGGGGACACCATCCTGTAATCAAACACAGTATTCTG